AACAGGGCTGTTTTTCTGAGCTTGTGAGTAGTTGAATTTTTGTAGAAATGTGGTTTTCAGATTAAAAAAAACCTATGATGATCTTACAGTATGTAATATGATGCATGGCTGTAGATTAACAGTGCAACGAAGAGTCCAAATGAACACAACATTAAACACCTAGAAGTTAAATCATGCAGCAGTAGTATTAATAAAACATCAAATAGTGAAACATTGAGAGGGAACATTTGACTGCATGACTATACTTTCCATAATTTATAATGTGCTGATAATACTTACATTATTTTTCTTAAGTAAGGTTTTGATTGCAACACTTAGTTGAGTATCAGTTCAAACTAGTACTTTTACTAATGAAAATAATCTAAATATTGTTAGGGCAGTGGACCATCTATTAACACACCTATTTCCCCACATTGTTGTCATGTAAGGCAACTACAACTACTATATATGTATAATAATAAACGTTACCCGCCTAGCAGTTTTTATACAATTATTGCAACATTAAAGTATTTCCATTAAGGGAGAATAGATAAATAAAAATGTAACATATGAGACAGTGTGTAGGAGATCACCTGATACAAATTTAAAAAATGATATGACATAGAATACGAGATGAAAAATGACACCCAGTGAATAATAATAATAATAATATTTCAGCATCTTTTCATTCTCTTCTACTCTTTTCTGTTTTTTCTATTCTATTCTTTTTCTACATCCTTGGTGAAGGTTTCATTTCTTCAAGATTTAAACTGAGAAAGTGTTTCACCTTGAGCTCCCTCTCTTTCTACCAACTGGTGCCAAATGACATAAAAAACGCTAAATCTGCCGCCACACGTGTGCATCTTTCTTGCCTATATTTCATGACCAACATTAGCATCAGTACACATTGGAGGAAACGTGTCTGCTATGTGTTTGTAATGTAATTCATCGTGGTTCATGGTGTGGGAGGGTTATTTTATGATGGTTCTGTGTGGGGGGCAGGATGGTGATGTATGCTAATGATGTGTTCATTTTAAGGTCTGTATGTAATGGAGTCTGTATCCAAAGCACGGTACACGCGGCTTTATCCTGGATTTATAAGATCTGCACAACAGGAAGTCACACTTGTGTTTAATGTACTGTAAACCTGAATGTGTCACCTCGTATGTCCCTTTCCTTATGGGTTATGAATGTATTTCTGGTTGCCTTTGTGTGTGATGTACCCTGGCAACCCCGACAAAAGGATATTAAATAAGTTCCCATATTGACAAGGACCGTCACTTCTAAAATTGTGCTTTTTAATTAATTGAACATTGGTATTCAATACTATTAATTAAAAAAAACTGTAAAAACGTTTAATTTGCAACGGTTTTGTTCAGTTCAATTGCAATTTTAAAACTGAATGTTATTTCATTCTTTTAATTTGACTTATCACTTTAAGACATGAACGCTCTGTTTAACTCTACATCACCTGCACCACTTTCCATCCGATGACTAACAACATGCTGTGTTTCATTATTGATAGACCTTATTGACCTGTTTGTCTCCTCTCACTAATGATAACGATTTGCCTTCCTGTTTGTCCTCGCCGAGCTGTGAGAAGAATCTAGATCCGGAAAACCATGTAATTGAGGCTAGAAGAGGTCAACGTATAATTTATGTCATTAAAATCCAAGACAACCGAAAAGGCAAGATTTGAAACATAATTTAGTTATATTTCCTCGTCCCATCAATCGTCTCAGATCTATCTTGTAAACACGGAAAGACTGGACCAATCTAAACCAGCTCTTAAGTACATCTCTATTAATGCACAGATGCATCAGTATAAATAATGTAGATCACACAAGTAGCTTCAGGTAAATTGTAAAACTGAACATGGATTTCTAAAGCACTTTTCTATTCCTACAACCACTCAAAGCACTTTTACACTTCATGCCAACATTTGCACACATTCATCAGGTGCCAAACTGCTCATCCTCTAATCTAATGCTCATTCACACACACTCACACAATGAGGATTGAGTATCTGGCCCAAGGACATGAGAAAAATAAAGACCTTTTTGAACATTAAAGCATATAAACATGTCACAGTAGAGGCACAAAATACTAATATGAACCTGCAAATGAGCACAGAGGGGACCCATTAAGGTGTATTCTAACTTGTTTCTTTACATTCTGTATTCTATTGATAGGTAGGTATTGATATATACTTTCTAGTGTTGATATGTTTTGTCACTAATTTGCAATGCCTGATAGCCTGAAGAATTTCCCAATTTGGGCCAGTATCTTCTGGTATGATGCATATATAGTAGGCCTATAGTATCCTATGTTTATATATATTTTTGTATATATTCTGTATTTATTACTCTACGGATACATATCTTTCTGGTGTTGATATGTATGCATCTACCTATCAATTTATCAATGTATCTATCTATCTATCAATGTATCTATCTATCTATCTATCTATCTATCTATCTATCTATCTATCTATCTATCCATCTATCCATCTATCTATCTATATTTTCAGACCGGACAATTAATGGCTTGTAATTTAACTACGTCTTAAGCAACAGCTGCCCTTTCAAGCTAAGGAGTACTTTCACGGTATCTTCTGGTATTTTTACTTAAGTAAAAGATCTGAATACCTCCCCCACCACCGTGAACAAGACTATAATAAGAGACAATAAATTGGCTCCTACTTATCTGAAGGTGGCCTTATCATGCCCCATGCTGAAAAGCTATACATAATTAGTTCTGCCTATAGGACAAGGCCCTTATAAAAACCCATTCACCGTGTCGCTTTGATATAATGGACCAAATGTTTTCAGATCCTGCCTTTGTATCATGCGACTGCAGAGCCCATGCTATATCTGTAGGAGGACAGATGGCCATCCCTGTTGGTGCAATTCTCCACAGCTTCTCCGAGCTAATACACCCGGCATATGGACATGCATCACAGGGTGGGGACTGGCACCGGGCCCTCAGGACGGCACGCTGACAGGATACGGGGATACGATGTGTTGTGCACATTTCCTAAGGAAGGCTGGTCCCGAGCCACCAAGCAAAACTCAAAACTCAACGCCCTTATCAGAATCAAAATTCAGAGTGGAAATGTATCGTGACAGCAAAAGTAAAAATAGAGACAAAATATAAAGAACTATTTGATAAAGGGCATGCACATAATATTTAAAATGAGAATAAAAACGCACACATTCGGGTAGAAAAGTAGCAGCAACAGCAGTATTTGTGAGATAAATTGAGTGTAACATGTAGAATACAGCGTGGTTGAAGCTGGATAACAGAGGTACAATTATATATTGCACTGAGTTAGGCTACTTAAAGCTTAGAGTATTGCAATTGTCAAACTAAGAAGGCAGCTAGTAATACTATTAATGTTAACTAGGTAGTCTACATATTGCACATAAGTGTTATTGCACAAAAGTGGTGTCGCAGTCTCTTTTTTTTGTGGCACATTTCACTTGTTCCTTTGCTCAGGAAAGGGAATCTGCAGGTGCTTCCCCAGCAGGGTGCCACCAACGCCAGAGATCAGGTCACGCCCCTTCTCATAAAACGGGGGCCGCGGGACGGTGACAGTCTGCCACGGGCCGTTAGGACGAGGGCAGAGAGGCAATTTATCCTCATTTAGGACAACCTTGGTTGAAAGGCACCTGGATATCTCCTTTGTGTTTCGTCTCCATTCCCCCCTCAGAGCATACTTGAGCTCTCCTTCTGCTCTGCCTCCCCCCCACATTTCTGGACCCATCCCAGCTGAAGGGATTATTGGCCTTCAGAAGGAATATATCTCACAGGGACTCAAAAAACTACAGCTTGAGTAAATACATTGTACAGCTGCCACGTTGATGCTATCCACCTTCAGCTCGGATGCAATCAATCTTAGCGGTTCTGTAATAATCAGCGGAGAAAGAGCCCACTGTGTCTGGATTCTCTGCCTGTCTGGAGGTATTTACCGTGTCAGAGCAGCACCTCACAGGAAGAGGCGGGCAGAGACTCTGTGCTGCCACCGTGTGGTCAGACCTTTGGTATCATCACACAAAATAACCTCACAGAAGAAGTGCTGAGGTTGAGGTTTCCTTTTAGTTATTTTACTGGAATTATTTCCTTATTCTATTAGGATTATTTGGTTTCAAATACTTTTTTCAGGATAATGACTATGTTTTGAACCCTTATTGTTTTCTGTGCATTTTTATTTGGAGATCATTGTCAGCTTTAAATACATATACATACAGTATATATGTATATGTACTTTTACAAGGGCTTAAGGACGCTTTTTTAGTTTTAGTTTTATTTATTTTTTCGAGCGTGTAAAACTAAAGAAAATACAAATGAAACAAAAGGTGATACAGACATGATACATTACTATACAGATGAATGCAATAACAAAACGAAACATGTAATTAATAATTGAATAATCTGTAGTATCATTGTCTGATATCAATAAACAACAAAGCTTTAGCTAATTACACATCTGTTTTTTTTTCATCTTAATACATATACAAACAGTATATATGTATATGTACTTTTACAAGGGCTTAAGGACGCTTACATTCAAATATATATATATATATATATATACAGTATAAGTACATATACATGTATATTTCAGCATGTTTTGAAAAGTAAAGAACGTATTTATAACATATATTCTGTTTAATTAAATATATAATTATGGAAGAACACACAAACAAAAACACGTATAGAGAACATTAACAAAACATGATAAACATAGGTTGTTTGTAATGTATTTTAACATGTTTTAAATCATTGTGTATCTATACATACTGTTAATCTGAATCTGTTTAGTGACGAAAGCTGACAAATAAATGAATTGGGAGAAAAAGATTACACTATTTCTCTCTGAAATGTAGAAGTATAAAGCAGAGTAAGCTTCAAATAGACACTAAAGAAACTTTAAAAAGAAGAAAACCCATTGAATACATCATTATATGAACTCATTTTGAAAAGACACAAAGATATCATCTCAAACAACAACTCAGGGAAACAGTTTCCAATTTGAGGTTTTATTATTTGGAAAATTAAGTCTCAAAAAGTCAAGATACAATTGAATAACAAGGGCACACAAATTCAAAGTGAGGTTTAATATATGGCATAATAATGCTTAAGATCTGTCAAAGAGTTTGCTCACACCAGCGATGACTCCAAATCAGCAGCAGCAAATCCATATCGGCCAAAATGACAGGTTCAAGTAAGACAAGTAAATACAGTTTGTGTTAGTCCTTAAGTTAAAAGCAATTCAAAAAGAGAAAACACGCCTTTAAAAGAGAGAGTTAATAAGCAGTGATTTATCAACAGGAAATGTTAAACATCGAGCAAGGCAGTAAAATGATATCATTAAAACTACAATATAACCTCAGCCTAATGTGCATCGTTAAACTTAAATTAAATTAACATCCTGAACACATTTAAAGGTGGGGTAGGTAAGTTTGAGAAACCGGCTCGAGATACACTTTTTGTTATATTGCATGGAATGCTCTTAACATCCCGATAGCAATGAATATCTTAAGTGCTTTGACAAAGAATCCATAAAAATATCATCTGTGGAAGCCGTAGTACTGTAAAAAGCACGACCAATCATTTTAGCCGGCCCGGATAAATAATAACAACTGGATGGCCTACCTGCCTGTCAGCCTTCCATCTGTGCACAAACTTATCTCGTGCCCTCATTGGTCATGTGCGCGTTCGTGTGTGTTGGAGGAGGGGCTCTGTAAGGAAGTGGCAGATTTTTTCCAGCTGTGTATTTTCAAATTCTAGCGCACTCGAGCTGGTTTCTCCAAAATTACCTACCCTACCTTTAACACGTTTTTTTATACAAAGCATTTAACACTGATGAACGAAAGAAGAGCTGAAAACAGAACCATTCCATTAAAGAATAATTCAAAAATATTTATATATAAAAAAAGGAAAATAATTGCAACCAATAGCACACGTTCACAATTAACACTAAAATTGGGTTTTGGCCGAATTAACCCAGTTTTTCAAAGCAAAAACCACGTTTTTTTTTTACATTTGTCGCGTTTTCTTCCAGTTACACAGGAGGTAAAGGTACGTACCAGAATCTATGCTAAGCTACATCACGGTGTGACACAAAGTAACATAGTAAATACAGAAAAGGTGGATTATTGTGGCCTTTTAAAGACCTCAACTATGCAGGCAAGCTACATGTCAAATCCATCCAGAATGATTTCTAAAAGTTTATGTACAACATCAAGGCTGCAGTCCGTTGGCATCTCAACATCTCCGACTCGTGACAGTTAGTTGGCTCAGATACAGTTCATAAATATTCTTTGAACCCGAAGGACTATCAACTACATAACATCTAATCTTGCTTCCTAATCCTGTTAAATCCTGGCATTATGTGGCAAAAAAAGAACATTTACATACAATTCAAAAACTAATTTACACCACATGTCCAGTATTTTCCCTCTTTTCCCTGTTTGAGAACACACACTGGACATGTTTACAGCTCTACACATCACCCACAGCACTGACCAATACCGATATCTATGTGGTGGAACTACATCAGAGACAAGAGGGACCAATTCAAGGTGCATACAGGTTATTTTGTTGGTCATTTGGTAGGTGTGGGTGGGATTAAAAATCAACCGAGAGGCTGTGTGCAGGCGAAGGAAACATGCAGAGATGTCTATTCCCTTGTTACATAGTTGGAAATCTGGTACTCAAATCAAGGCTGGGTCATGATGCCAACAAGTCACACTCCTTGGCATAACAAGTTATCCTTTCATACACAAGTATCCAGGTGTTCCAGGTCGTCCTTGTGGTTTCTCAGTCTCAGGTGGAGGTGTGTGTGCGTGTGCGTATTTCTCAGTGTACGTCAGGTGCTGCGTGCGCTCGTCCATTCTGTGTATTGTGGTGGTTTTGTTTTGTAAGCCGGTGTTTCTGTCTCTAGGTGTGCATGATTCTATGTGTACCAGTGTGTATGAAACCTACAGCGCTGTGTAGAGGGGGGGCCGACTATAGGAAAGCACTTGGGTTAGCTCGTGGATCTTTCTGGTTCCTGTAGCGCACGGCGAGCCACACTCCCAGGATCTGTTCAACACAGAAAGGGGAAATAAATAAAAGGCACGTTCACACAGGAAAAGAGAACTAAATGTGTCAGCACGTCATCTCAAAATTAGCTTGGTGATGTCGAGCTGGATGTTAAACTACTGTAGCTGGGAAACAGCCAACACATCAATACTGCCTCTACGAACTTATCCTGTTTGATATGAAATGTAATCATCATATTCCACATCGACGTGGAAAAGACCCCGAGGAAAGCAACCAAAGATAGATTCCTCTCAAAATGTTGTGTGTATAGATTATAAAATATAATAAAACAAAGAGAATGACAACAATGATAATGGAAACATATGAAGTGCAATATTGAAATCTACAATTTCAGTGAAAAACATTAAACTTATACCTCAATCTCTTTTACGCCGGAGCCTCACAGCCCACTTGAGGAGCGCACATGCTTAAAATTATCTCGGTGTGATTGTGAACTGGTCATAGCCGGTGTGAGAAACGCAATTCGGCGGCGTACCGTCACAGCTACAGATTCATGGTGTCGGCTTATGTGCCGTGTGCAGGTCACGGCAAAAAGGTTCTTTGATGTTGAACAACAACACCATCTCAATGTTTATATTTAGAGAATGTCACATACATAATAGGAAGTACAAATGTATTTTAAAGGTCCCATGTCATGCTCTTCCGGTTATTACCCGTCCCCTTGTGTGTTATGAAGGTTTTTCTGCATGTAAACGGTCTGCAGAGTCAAAAACCCTCAAAGTACACCCTGTAGTGAGTAAAACTCTAACACAGAAAAGACCTGTCTATGCTGCCCCAGAACGCCTCGTTGGAGATTTCTCATTTTCCATTTGTTTCTTCCGGGAACCAAAATGGACCAATCCGCAGAGCTCCTCACACACCAGGATCCCTTGGCGTCACTATCAAACGCAGTGGGGGGACATTTAGCGTACATTTTCAACTATCAGGGAGTCCCATTGACTTGCATAGAGCTCCCTGGTTGGTAATAGACGAGTTGGGATCGTGGAGAAATGCTCTCCGCAGACCCATTCTCACAGCGTTTATAAACCTTTTTCTTACTCAATATCAAGCCACACTTCGGCTGTGAGTGTTTGTGTATGCTCAGGATGAGTTTCGCGCTGTCTCGCTTATCTGGAAACCACACCAGTAAGCCAGCTCACTGAGCAGCGAGCCTCGCAACGTCCCGACCAATCAGAGCACACTGGGCTCACAGGGAGGGGGGGGGGGCAGGAGCTCCAACAAGCCGTTTAGGACAGAGAGTGAATACACATACTATACAGAAATGCTGTATGAGAAACCAATGTGAGTTTGGGAAATTGCACAATATAAATCTATTTTAGTATACCTCAACAATGGAATTATGATCAGTAGAAATGGCCATGTCATGGGACCTTTAAACACAAACTTCCCGTTTCAGTTTCAAAAAAATATATTAGCAAGACACTGTTGAAAATGCAGTGACTTAAACACCTCCATAAATGAATGGAGTAGCTGCTGTTGCCTATAGTTTTGTTTATTTAAGCCAGCACACAATTCCTAAGTATTTGCATTATGATAGTAAATATGTAGGTAGTTATGGACGCTTGTATTTATTTGTGTATATTTTGTCAAATATATCTTGTAACTGCAGGTTTTAAAAAGGCTATAAGGGTATTATTATGATTATCATAATCCCTCTGGCTTTTGCTCTCAGCATTATACATGATTTCATTCAGTCACTTAACTCTTTTTCACTCAAAGGGATATTCATAGTTTACTTCACTGTCTCACAACTGTACGCAAACAGTTTATATTCCGTCTGAATGGAGGATATAACATCCATTCAGAGGGAGTATAAGTGGGTGATAAGCTACTAGGGCTGTAGTGAAGCTTTGAAGCTTCATTCATAACGCTGACATTCAAATGCCAAATCATCATTTGAATGATGCGCAGCTTTTTTTTCTGCCTGTCTATTTATTCTGTTTAAACCTCGTTTTCTGCTCCGCTGCAAATTAAGCTTAGGCTACATGTACAAAACATGTGGGGGTGCCATGCAAGAATTGTTAATCGTTGTTAAGTCAAACAGTTAAGAAAAAAACAACAAATGTAATGCGTTCAGACTGTTTGCTCTCCTGCCTGCAGTTTACAGGGCAGCAGCAACACAGCACCATGAATTACATTTATATCACCACAGATATATAAAATATGCTATTGGTCACAGTTCAAAATGTCGGTGTTAAAGTTCACCAAAGTTAGACTGAACCCAAAATATTTGCACATATTTATTTTGCCCTCGCAAGCAAATGTCCACTGATTGAAACGATGGATGAATTGATGTTGCCATTTTTAATAATAATCTAAACTGACAACCTTCAGATTCCGGGATTATTTGCTCTCTGAGAAAACACCAATATGAACTTGATGGATAATCTTTATTATATGAGCAGATGTAGGTTTGTAGAACGGACACTCACCTCTGTGAAGCTGAAGAAGAGCCCGACACCCCCGAGGATCTTCAGAGCCTCGGTTGCATGATTCAGCATTTTATCCCCGCAGGTGAAACAGCTAGTGTTCCTTTTGCATAACTGGAACAAAGACACAGAAAAGAGGCCTTTAGTCTTCAGCTAGTTTTATCAGCCGAGGCAGCATTCTCTACCAAAATCTATTCTGAGAACTTCAGAAAGTTGACTGCTTTTAACTTACCCTTGGGGTATATTGTGTAACAGGATTTATACAGTGAGACTGCAGCAGTTATCTCTGATGCAGTAACATTTGTATTTAAAGAACCCCTTATATAATGTCTGAGATACGGAATGTTCATTTTGTTTCATTACACAGAAACCTAACTCCGCGGTTGCACCGTTTAAGCCATTTGTCTTGATGATGATGTGAACATGTTGACATGTTGGACTCACAGCGGGGCAGTTCAGCAGGTCCTGTTCAAACTGAAAGTGGGTGGAGGTGTAGTTGAGCAGCCCGCAGCAGTTCAGTTGGCCCTCCAGGTCCGTCTTCGTCTTGTTTTCCAACATTCCCCAAGTGGAATTCAGAAGTGTCTCCTGCAAATAAGACAACAGTTAAATCCAGTTTCCTGCAGTCTCAAAACAATTGGTTGTAGTCTCAAAACTATTTAATTATGCAGACATAAAGAGAGTTATCTCACCTGCTGCCCACGGTTCATTGCCAAGCAGGAACAGGAAACTCCAAATTGGAACAGGAAAACGATGAAAAGAATCACCATGTACTGAGGAGCAAAGTTAAGGAAAGTGCAAAAACATGGAAAATGCAACTACATCTCCAAATCAGTGACATTTAACTGCATCTGACCCCGAATAAGGATACAAAGAAGAGCAGGACTTGGTGGTGGTGTATCGCTCCGATGAGTCCAACGATAGCGATGAGCAGCAGGAACACGCCCACTGCGATGACCCCTCCTATGATGTGGATGCTCGACACCAAGCCGAACCCCTTCCCCCATGCTGCCACCCCGATCAGCAGCAGCCCCACCAGCTGAGGAGGAGAGGAAGTTAACCAGAGTCAGCAGCGGGCATTTAGTGGGACTGAGCTCATCATGAAGTCACGGTCACCGCTACCACAAACAACAGTCATCTTTTAAATACAAGTTACTTATGTTTTTAGGTCTTTAAGAGCTCTATGAGGATTCAAATACGAGTGCAAGCCTACTAAATCATGCTAAATAATGCAAATGAAGCACAGCGCAGTCACAGAAAAAGAAAAAAGATGACTCAAAGTTGAAATGCTAATAGCTCTTCACATGCCTCTGGCTCATGAGACTGCTGGTATCTGGGGAATTTCCAATGATCTAAAAACACTGAAATCATTGTTACATTTTTATTTATTTAATTGATGAAGACTTTTCTTTTTGCCGCTGCTTTTAATTGAACTATTTATATCTTAAACTGCACTGTAAACTTGTATTCATGTATGTTGTCTTTTAATGTTTATTTTATTATCTTTGCTTTTTAATGACTGTTTTTAAATGCCATTTTCTTAATGTCTTTCATGTTTGTAAAGCACTTTGAATTGCCTTGTGTTGAAAGGTGCTATATAAATAAAGTTGCCTTGACTTGCCTTGATGACTATAAAAAAGAATGTTTTGCTTATATTCTGTAATATACAAAGAAATATAACTTTACAATTCATTTTTGATTGGTTGTTGTCTAATCACAAAAGGTTCAACTTTCTCATAAAGAGGCTGTATGTCCTTCTTGCCTTTATACGTCTTCCTTCACTGCCGTCACTGCTCCGGTTCTACTCAGCAGCATCACACTCGTGACAGTGAGTGACTCATCTGCCAACATGATTTCTGGCATGTGCACATGCTCCAAAGTTTTGTGACAGGGTGGGGGGTGTCTGAAGAATTCCCTTCAGCAGTGAGGCAACAGTGAGGCTAACACTGTGTCACAACCAAAAGCAAACAACGCAATGCTACCTTTACCCCCAAGGTGCATACCTGGCAGGCTTAGAAAGGGTTACGACAGCAGGTGAACGTGAGACACAATTAAGACGATTTTAACACTATCAAGACGTTTTTGACTCAACTTGAAACCAAGTGGTTTTATGATCTCTAAAAATATTAGGAATGCATCTCATGATGATAAAGATATTGGAGTTGCCAAAACCTTTAACCATTATACTACAATATTAGGGCTTATTAATCTATTATTATTCTGACAGTTATATTCTCAACTACATGTACGTTATACTATATGTTCCTTTTGTAGGTTCAAAATACCAACGAATGACATACTTATATAAAATAAAGGCAAATAAATGCCTAAAAATCCTCTCTTTTAAGAAGTTAGATCTATTAATTATATTGTATAAATAGGATTTAAACAATTGTATTTTTTTTTAACTAATTTCGTACATTTGTTTTTTGGCACCTTAATAATAATCTAATTGTTTCATTGGCACTCTTTCCAGCAGATACATTTCCCTCTGATATTTAAAGTTCTTATCTTAATGGGCTAATCTATTCACCTCAATATAAATAGGAATTACAGATAAAAAAGACAGGTCAGTTAAACATTAATGCTCTGTTGCCCACTGAAACCCATTGACCAACAATACTTAACAAATGGCAGACTGAACAATTCAGTAACGTAACAGTGAGTGACACAGTGAGAGACTAAAACAAAATACACAGCTGTCAATATGCCACAATGCAACAGCCCAGCAAAAACAACATAGTTTTGGTTATGGAAATCATTTCTTATATCCTCACATCAGTGCCTTGAAAAAGCTGTCAAGCACACTGACATGGCAGAGAGGTGAAACATATAGCCTGGTTTCAAAATGTAGGAATTATCAGGTGCAAAAGAAACTGTTTGCACAATTATGTTGTTATCTTGATCCATTATGTACAGGGGACCTCATTATTTAAAATGACCAAATTGAAGATTGTTTGTTAGCTGTAGGTCCCATATGTTACCAAAACATACTTGTTTCTTAACTAAATGTTAAGGTTAAACTATTCTAAAACGTTATAGTGACATATTTAGATGATTATCTGATATATTAATTTTCGTATCATCCCATGCCTTTGACAGCTGGTTAATTTTAAGTTGACATTTTTAAGGCCATCAACCTAATTTCACCTCATTTAAATATAAGGAAGAGCAGAGTTACAAAATAACATAATACACACCATTAACCAAAGCCTAAATATCCATTGTTATTAAGTACAGTCTCTCAGTTTAACCATCAGTTCAGGGTGAGTTGTTAGCTGTGATGAAATCAACATGTTGACTATCACAACTCACATGACTGACACACAAACAAACTCTGAACCGATACAATCTAGCTGTGACAGGCTCGGGTGGCTAATGAAAAGAGGCGATGTGGGAGATAAACCATTCAAGAATCTCAATTTCACATTTAATGTGTTAAGGGGTCAGCCGGCCTCCCAGCTAACGGTAGCTTCGTACACATAATGGTGATAGCTTACAGGCTAGCTAAAATAACTACATGTCTATCTAAATAGCTACCGTACACTAGAAATTACTAACGTTTTAAAATATACACCGAAGAGAAAATACTTCGTACCTTTAATCGGCTGCAAAATAAAAGCATAACATATTTAATAAAAATGTAAAATCAGTCATCTTTCTGTCGTAGCTAACGTTGCTCGCTAGTTGTCGTTTATTCAGAAGCTAGTAAGGCTAAGCTAACGGTTCTAGCTAAAAGTTAGCATGATGATCCATTTTGTACACTCACCATGTACACCACATTCAGGGAACAAAGCGCATTTTTGGAACAGGTGAAGCCGCCACAGACCATATTCGAAAAACCTCTATGGGCTAATTAATAAATAAAGATGAATATAATAAAATAAAAGGTCTCTCCGGAGCTCTAAACGTCTGGACTCAAATGTTTTTGGTCAGCGGAGAGGGCGTCTCTGATGACGTAAACACCGCATCTGACGTAGGGGGTAAAAAACCATACGTCATCGTTTTAGGGTAAAAAACAAATCTGGAAAAATCTGTTATGATAAAGAAAATAATTTCTTAATATTTATACTATATGTTAAATTCTACCTATCCAATATTTTCAGCCTGTTCTGAAGTGCTTTGGATTAAAATTCTTCAAATGTTTATTTATGATACAGCTGTGAAAACTAGGCTATAGTCTACATTGTCTGTAACTTAAATTAGTTGAATATTTATTTTCAGTGTTTAGCATACATATAACCAAACACTGCGTTTGGAATCATCATGTGTTGAGATTTTTTAATATGGAAAGTTAAGCTGTTATTAAAAACATGTAAAAATAAAACAATAAAATAACATTAACACATTTAAAAGGGTTTAAAGGACTGGAGATGGGTGTGTGTGTGTGTGAGCACGTTGAGTTTTATAAGAACTCTGTGGCGATGACAGGACACTTGTTACACAATGATTACACAATGAGGCCTGGCAACACATCAGGGAGACATCTGTTCTACAGCATGACCCAAAAAAAAACAGGGAAATGTTGAGCTCTGTTTTATATTAAAAGTCATGTATTTCCTCATAAATTTGATTTCTAACCAATTCCGCAAATAGCACGGTTCAGAAAGTTAATCTCTAATATCCTGTTGCTGTGGAGCATCGAGCTGCTCATATTGAATTACAAACCAGAGCATAAACATTCGCATCTGACTCACTGCCAACTTAGTTTTGTCAACAAAAAAAATCAGATTATGAATATGATTGCTAAAATGTGTGTGAATAGATAACATGATTGCAAACAAGCAACATGTATAACTTTGGTTGAAATAGACTTGTGGTTTGAAAAGGGAAAAGTATTCGAATATTCTCACATGCTTAATCATCTTGTTTCACATGTTAAAAGGCTCTGCAGAATTATGACAGCACATCCTGATACCTAATGTGTGGCGTAATGTTAGGCCAACACATCCTTTAACAGGAGCTTCCATAGAAATACTCACTAAGCTGATAACTGTACATATATTATCAGAATCAGAAGTCCAACAGCGGGGAAATGTTACAACTGCAAAGGGGACAGCATTGAAAGGCAACATTAAAATAAGTAGATAAACATAATACAAAAAAGGGCAAGCAAACATGTAATACTATCAAGTTAGTACACAACCTCTGACAGCAGTGAATATTTCACAGCTACATGTGTCTTATAACCAAGATTCAACATGTTAACTGTTATCAAAGTTTCAGAATGAATGTGTTTTTACATTATTGTTTCTTTATTGTTGTGTGAGACAAACGGCAGCTAGCGTCATCTTTTCACTTGTGTGGCCGCAGCATTCAGAGCTGCCGTGTATAGTGAAAATATGGTTTGAAATAAGGAAGTGAATTCAGTTCAGTTTGAACCTGAGGAGGAAACTGAGACACTTTGTCGTTCGCTGACTTTGTGGTCTGTGAGAACGAGAGACACCCTGAGGCGCAGCAGCTTCTTTTACTGCGTCCTTCAAAGTTTGCGTTCGTCTTGTGAGAACAAGAGCAGCCGGGAGTTCAAATGGGCTGAAGCGATGCTCTTTAAGCTTCAGTTTAAAAAAGAGATCCATGTGTCAGGATGAACAGCAGCAAGTCAGTCAACTCCACTGCAATAAGAGCAGAGATCAAGAGGCATGAGTCTCTCCAGAGTGCAATCAACAGACTCTCCAAGCAGTTTGAAAGAGTGGAAAATCCACAGCTGCGCTCAGGTCTTAAAGTGTTCCTGCACAGCATTCAAGGTAAGCTCATGTTCGTTGTTTTTAGGGAAGAAAGCTACACATTACCTGTATGCTAAAGTTTGTATCGACAGGTGCATGATCTAACTCTCAGGGTGTTCACTTTAATAGATTTCTTGTCATCATTAACAGGAAAGATCTTTTAGTTCACAGTGATTTTTGCTCGTCATCCACATTATATTTGGTGTGCGGAGTAACATGATAGGGTAGGTGATAGATATCGCCTCTGTGCTTCCTGTGTCAGACAGTGTGTCTCATTCGGGGAAGTTGACGCTCATTTTCATTCTCATTTCACTCTGGGGACAAAAATTCACCTCCTGTCGTCCGGCCGTTTATTTATTATCTGTCAGCCTCTGGACACGAGGCGACCAATGGCAACATCCCTCAGCAGCCATCGCCATGGCAGCAGGATGAAACCTGCTGTGCGGCCTACTTCCTGTCTGCCATTCTGCAACTGCCCTCAAAGCCACTTCCTTTCAGACAAACAGAGGCCTTGTGTGAGAAGCTGATCAGTTTTACATCATTTCCCCTTAATCTGTACTTCCCACCTTTTCTTGTTAATGTGACACAATGTGCTACTGTCGAGTTCTCTCTGCTCACATGCAACATTTTACTGTAAAAGATGCACAGTAGGATCCTTTGATTAAGAAAAAGCTGCAACCACAAAGTAAGAGCATGTTGTTATAAGTTAAAAAAAGTCATGCATTTAAAAAAAATCACAAGCAAAATGTACTTAAAATATAAAACGAAAAGTACTTTTAGTATTTTAAAACTAAGCTCATTTACTCGAGTACTGAACAATGTTAATGTACTTGTACTTTACTTGAGTATTTCCATTACCGTTATACTTTCACTTACTTAGAAATATTGCAGTCATTGCTCAATAACAGTTATCTGAGGGTTGAAGTAACATTTCAGATTAAGATTTTACGTAGAAATCTAAATAATAACATAACAAAATGTATACTTACATGTTAAAAAATAGTTATTGTTGTACTCTGCGTTTAAGGATACTGTTGATACTGTTTTTCCATTACCTAAGCAGAATTGTAAATGCAATATTTTGTACTTGTGGTGGAATATTTCTATACTGAGACTACCTTTACAAAAGATCTCATACTTCATCCACCGGATGAATCACAGTGAAACCAAACCTGAGCGTAGCAAATCATACACATAACTGGAAACACCAGTGCAGTTTTGTGGGGCCTTTAACCTATCATAATGCATCAATAGTGCTGTCACAACTTTATATTTTCATTAAAAATAATATATTATAAAGTCATTATAGTGATGTCGTAATGAAAACGTTATGCTTCCTGTCAAATCCATCTAACGTTATTGTGCGTTTTTAACCTTTTTTGGCAAATGAATTACATTCAAAATTATGATCGTGGAGTGAGTCTATAACAATAACTTTCATATCTAATGGATTTTAACATAGCATTATTATATTAACATAATTATATCACAGTTACGTCAATACCCGTATATCGCGACACGTATGCATCATATTCACCAAATCATGTTTGTCTGTAAAGGAAAATCAATGATAGATAAAGTATTTCCCTTTTGTAATGTATAGTTGATGTTTAAAGCTGTAGAAATAAAGTAAAGCACACATACCTTGGGATTGTACCTGACTGCTTTACACTGTGGTCAGATTGGGTGGAATATAATAGCCAGTTTACGTTTGGATTTCATCCGTCCATTCATTAGCTGTTTGTGTGTGAAATGAGGGTCAATCAGCCCCCGGGTGGATTTTGGTATAGCTTTGAGGTCTTTTTAGGATCTGGCAGACCTTTACACGCTCCCAAAAGCACATCCTCTCTGTGTTAAAATATTCAGCTGAATATTTTTTTTGTATAATTAGGCTGCTGGAGAGAGGATCAAAGTCAGTGTATCCTCCACGGGGGCCTGGATCTGTGAATGTAGGGTTCACTGGGGCTAAGAAGAGATCCACCTCTCTTTTTCTGTTTTTTGGACTTAATAAGCGTGGGGGATGTGGTCGACTGACTGTGTGCCAAAGTAAAGGAAGGGGATGGAGATGGAGATGGAGAAAAGGGTTGAGGTGGAGCTAAATGAAGACATTTGAATGTGAATCTGACTGGTGGTGTTCACTGCAGCATGGCGGCAGAGCGAGGGGGGAAAGATAGAAAGGACAGCTCCCAGTGAAGGAGAAATGAAAAACCACCCAGCATGACCACTGCCCTTGGCCAGCGTCCATCTGACAGCACACGCTCATAGGTGTGTGTGTGTGTGTGTGTGTGTGTGTGTGTGTGTGCGTGTGTGTGTGTGTGTATGTGTGTGTGTGTGTGTGTGTGCTTAGCCTGTATGCATGCATGCATGTGAGTCTCTTCACTTTTCTAAAAAGTGTCTGACTGAAGACAACCTGATTTTCTGCGTTTCATACAGTATGGGTGTCTATTTCACAATAATTAGATTCACTGTGCAGCAGTGCAAACTGCAGCAGCCCGACGTGCACTTTAACTCACCCAGTCCTCACGCTTCATGTTTAAATTGGATTTTTACACATGTATTACGTCACGCCGCCTGTTAGGATGTATACCTGTCTGAGGTTTTTAATCGTGACTCTATTTCAGTGGTGGAGGGTGCTGTCCTCTCTCAGGTCGTGTGTTTTCCCCTTGAGCCAAAGGCAGTGTGTTGTCAGGGGTCTTTTGTATTCAGAGGGAGTAGTTATTGCCCTCTCACTGACTGTGAAGGGAGGGGGGGAGGGCGGGCGGGCCGAGCAGGTGGACAGTCAGATCGTGTATTACGGAGGGAGGCTGGCGCACTGTGGGGAAATGCATCCTCTGATTTCACATCAAGGATTTGTTTTTGTATCAGATAGTGATTAACATGAAATTACACCCGGCAGTAATGAGAGATGGATGTGTGTAATCATGTTTGCTGCAGTGATTCTGTTGTTGCATGCAGTATAATTGCAGCAGTTTTTCTTACTTCATAAATTCCTAACTCTTTGTTGAGAATGAGTCGAATATAAATGTGTTTATTGGAACTATTTCGATAATGTAGTCATTGTTTAAGTACATTTTCGAGTAAAAAGGCCAAATATATTATGGTTTCAGCTTCTTAAAATGTGAGAATTTGTTGCTTTTTCTTGTCCTGTATTATAGAAACGTTGATTTCTAAATGTTAGTTGGACTACATGTGATATTCAATGACATCAATTTGGCCTCTTGTAAATTGTTAGGGACATTTTTCTGAACATTTCCTGATATGATATGGACAAAATGATTAATTGAGAAAATAATATTGGAAGATTATTGCATGATGGAAACATATTTGTTTTTTTTACAAAGTGCATATGCACAATGAGATTGTCAATGAGTTACTGCATCTAAATCAAAAGGACACACAGATGTGTTCACCTACTTTAAATCGACATTTATCCTATAAGCTAGGATTACATGGATGTCCTTTTTAATCACACAGAAATAGCAATATATCTGTTTAATATGGTTTTGCATTCTGTGGTCCAAGTATTGATGTCCAATATGCTCTGCTTCATGCTGCGAGCCCAGAGCTTACCTACTTCTGCTAATGAACACATGCCGTAGCAGGCAATAGACGACAGATCAATACACTCACAGGAGATCTCTTTCACTCACATGTACCACCCACCCACCCACACACACACACACACACACACACACACACACACACACACACAATGAAACATTCACAGAGAGTAACACCATTTTGATACAGAGATACTGGGAGCGATTGCGTTACAGGATGGAGGAGGAGGAGGAGGAGGAGGAAGAGATGATGATTGTGCCACCAGAGCCAGGAAGATTGCAACACCTTAGCAACAAACAAGCCAAACCTCCTACTGAGGAGGAGCCACACAGAGCCACACACACACACACACACACACACACACACACACACACACACACACACACACACACACACACACACACACGCAGACAGCTGAAGACAGATGGATAATCCTGATGAAACTGTTCTGGCAGCTGTATACATGAGAGAGGGAGCAGACACTTTGCAAACACACCCTGTTGTGTCCTTTTCCCTCCAAAAACATGCCTCCATCTTTCTTTCTTTTTTGTCCTTCCTTACCAACCCTGCCTGCTTTTCTCTCCACATTTCCTCCCGCGGTCCCCCCTCATTTAGCAGGTCTGTGCACTGCCGCTTTACCACCAGCCGTCACCCGCTGCCTCCCCCCTCCTCTCCGGCACGCAGGCAGGGAGAAAGATGGAGGGGAGGGGATGATGGGTGTGGGGATGGGAGGGATGAGCAATAAAGAGCCTGCACACTCAGAGAGGCAGCAGAGAGAAAATAAATGAGGGAGAAGCAGGATCCTTCTGCATTGTATGGATTGCTTATTGGAACAAGGAGGGGCATGTAGAGGGAGGGACATCGGAGACCGGGGGAGAGAAACGCAGAGTGTGAGCTGTGCATGTGTGCGGGTGTGTGTGTGATTAGACTCGTTGAACCTGTGCGTCGGTGTCTCTATCGGCTCCTCGGTGTTGTCATGCTCCACGCCTGATGCCGCGCGCAGGACGCAGGCTGCCCGGTACGCGCCCGGTGATGGCCGGACGCGCCCTGACTCGGTCCTCCTGCTTCTCCACATATCCTCCCGGGCTTCTGCTGGCTTCTCCTCCTGATCCACTTCAGCCCTCGTCAATGTCCTTCCCTGCCGCTGAGTGGATGCTGCTGTCATCACACATGTGTGGCTCGCAGTGAGAGCCCATGATCTGGACTGGATTGCTCTTGGGTGCCATGCTGCTTTAGGGTGACACTGATTAATTTTTAAAGACTTTACCTTTTTTACAGCTGCTGGTGATCATATTTTTTGATGGCGTATGATGCGGGGAAGTTGTTATTCTGAATTGAATCCAGAAGAGGATTGCCTGAGCAACATACAAGATGGGGGGTTCTGCACATGAAAATAAGGTCATGTAAATAATTATAATCTGGAATGAGTCACCATAATGAAGATTCATTTGCTTGAGTAGCTGCATACATATGCAGTGGATAGATTTTAATTGGGTGTTTTCTAGGAACAATAGAGCAGCTTGACAGTGTGCTGAAGGTTGTCAGTAATGGTGGATTTTCCTGAAATGAAATTTACAGTCAGAGAAAAAAATCCGTGACTGAAATTCCAATCCGAAACAAAGAATTTCGGGATTTAGGGGATGGATGAAACCAAAAGCCGCTCTGCTGTCGTATCTTCAAAGGAGAAACTTAATCTCCCTCCATGTAAGTTTTTCGTCGTGCAGTCAGATTCTCTCACGTCCCAACACGCTGGCAAACTGTCAGTCGTTGATGTCGCTCTGTCTGGTTTCATTCATCTACTGTGTGTCCACTGAAGCCTGAACACATGAGCGGAGGCGGCGCCCTGCAGCAACGCACCACCTACCTCATCTCCCTCACCCTGGTCAAGGTAGAGGCTGTGGAGGAGAATGGAGGGGAGGAGGCCAAAAACAGCAACCAGGGGAAGGAGGTGGTGGAGGCCGGGCCTGGAGGAAGGGAAGGAGAAGAGGCCGGGGCCGGAGTGGAGGCTAAAGGTGAAGCACGGGCTGAGAATGGAGCTGGACAACCGCCAAAAGCTGTAGATGATGTGAAAGATGACAAGTTATTGGATGAACTTAAAGATGGAGATAAAAAGCCCCTCAGCCCCCTGAAGGATAAACCTCCACCAACTGTGGACGTCCCAAGCAAAGGGAGTGAAAAGCCCCCGTGCAACCTCTCCATCCCCTTACCTGCGGAGAGGGCAACGCTTCAGAAGACAACGTCTGCCGAGACTGACCTAACAAGAGTCCAGAAAACACCTTCAACTCCTGAGGCGAAGCAATGCAGGTCACCATCACTGACCCCAACGCCTCCAACAGAGATGGTGGAGCCGACTCGCACCCCGACCAGGACCAGCCTCCCCATCCGCCCGTTGGGGCAGCGTCCTGTGAGTCTGCTGAAGTCTCACAGCAACGTGGCCACCCGGGGTCGCGACTCCAGGGACGGAAGAGAGCGAAGCCCTACCTCGGCTCAGAGCCTGGACAGAAAGGACTGCCGGATGCCCACGCGCTCTCCGGTCCCCTGCAGGGCCTCGTGGGCCGAGGCCAGCAGGCCCGACGCATGGAGGATGGACGAAGCTCAAGCAGGAATGCCTCTGGAGATCGGAGGTAGCATGGTTGCGGTGATGAGAGACCAACCCAGAAAGGACAGGCTAAAGACGGGGTCGGCCTCCCTACCTGGGCCTCCGAACCAGACCACCAAGCCGGGACGCAAAGGTAAAAGCCGCACGCTGGACAACAGCGACCTGAACAGCCTGTCTGAAGACCTGGGGTTAGCCAGGGAGAACCAGCAGGCCCAGCAGGGGCAGCGAGGCTCCGCTAAAGACAGGAAGATGCTCAAGTTCATCAGCGGGATCTTCACAAAGAGCAGCTCGGGGGCGGCGGGGTCTTCCTCCACAGCGCCGCCGGTCTACATACAGAGAGACTCCAGTGAGGAAGAAGGTAGGGGTCGCTAACGTAACTCTAGATCTTCACATCGACTATACAACAAACCATTATCACACATGTCTTCTGTTCCTTTGCCAAACCATTATCGGACATGTCTTCTGTTCCTTTGCTAAACAGTCATCAGACATGTAGCCTCTTCATCTGTGCACAGGCATCCATTTGAAATGAGTCAGGGTGGGGTTAATGTTTTCATAAAGAACCCCCACACAGAATACATTTACAGGCTTAAGAGAAACATTATCATGAAGCCAAAACACGACAGATGACGTTCTTTGATGTGAGGGACTGACAATAGACACATCTTGGACAGTTTTAATCTAATTCCCCTCAGAGCGTGGGCAGATTTCACACCGCTGGAGGGGTAATCTCTGCACACACACACACAACACACACACACACACACACACACACACACACACACACACACACACACACACACCACACACACACACACACACACACACACACACACACACACACACACACACACACACACACACACACACACTTAAGCAGCATTCCCAGCATGGGTTTACATCTCATAATGAAGCCAAAGGGGAGAGGAGCTGGTGGCGTAATCAGGGATATATTGCAACGCTCCAGTTGATTTTTAGCCCCGGCTTTATTTTCGTAGAGAGGGAAAGACATATTTGTTCGCCCACGTCAAAAGGGGAAGTGTTCATCCACATCCTGAACATTTATAATCCTGTTTTTGATATTCCACCCACCACATGCTCTCCCGTCCTCTCAGTCATGTCTTTGTCTGGCCTCACATTTATATTCCACCATCATGTCAAATGCATGCATAAGAATCAGGAATCGTTTAGTTGCCATCTTTTTTTTTTTACCCTGCAGCGTACAACAACGCATCTCTTTCACAAACACATTTGTGAAAGAGAGAGACCAAGTGTCAGCCACTGTGTGCGTGTGTGTGTGTGTGTGTGTGTGTGTGTGTTTTATGTATTCATTCACTCATTGTGCATTCACACTGTTACACATGCAAGTAGTGAGACTAGCCCTGCTGCCTGCACACACACACACACACACACATTCACACACATACATACACACTCACTGAAGGCAGGAGGAAGTGTTGCCATGGCAACCGGCAGGACTGCTGCCTCTACTGCTGCTACAGAGGCTGATAAAACCGAAGGGTGGAGGAGGAGATGTTTTCTGTGTGTGTGTGTGTGTGTGTGTGTGTGTGTGTGTGTGTGTGTGTGTGTGTGTGTGAGATGATTGTAAAACAATTCACCCCTAACAAATGTAAGTTAGAAAATAAAATGGATAAAGGCTACAGGCGACATGTAGCATGGGAGTGGTTGCATAGTGCATCACACACGATTGGTTCGCTGCAGCGAGTGTGGATAATTAGCTTTCTGTATAAATCTGTGTGTCGAAGCAGCAGGGGGATAACGCTGTCCGACCACTTTGAGCTACAGCAGCAGGCCATAAAGGGAGCTTTGAGTCAGAGAAAGATATAGTCAACCTCTGTGTGTGTGTGTTTGTGTGTGTGTGTGTGTGTGTGTGTGTGTGTGTGTGTGTGTGTGTGTGTGTGTGTGGTAGGGCTTGCCCTTTTTCCCAGTGAGATGCCTGCTGCGGCGGCTCGTATGTAAGCCCCTTTTAGTCTTCATCTGAAGCACATCATCACCGGCTGCATCTGCTCGGTGTTGGCCTGGACGCTTCGTAGATTTAGAGGCAGTTTAATCATCATCCGTCTTTGAAGGACATTTCAGACAGTCACACCCAGCATGGCACGCAGTACAGTCTGCCAAACCTTCTGGTGTCCTCTGTTGTCTTTCTCTGTTTTACTGTGATTTGTCATTATGTTTTTTCTGTTATATTTTAACATGTTCCTCAGAGGATGAATACTACTATTTACACATGCCCTATTGTCTCGAGCACCATCAGCAGGTCCAAATGTTCTTGTATCCAGTGATACATTTCACTATGTTATTGTGGGATTGGCATTATATTTTCTACAGGCATTCATGGTTCTCAGATGTTGCCCAATATTTAGGTTTATTACTTAAATGCAGCAAAACAAGGCCTACTGACATTTCCATAACCCTCAATGACTTTGTGTTTACTGTTGTGTTAGCTTTGTCTTGGGAGTTTTGGGAGCATTTTAGCCTGCTGATTTAAGCATTTATCTCAATGCAGAATCTTGCCAACGTGGCTGTAGACTTACCAGTTATGAAGGTACATAAACCTAGCTTAAACTATTCTGGTCTAATGCTACAGTTCTGCAATAGATCCTCCTTTCCTGAAGGTTAACATGTTCAGTTTGTGTTGAAACTCTTTCTGGTTGTGTTGCTGTTATTTTGAGAGATTCTTCTATTTTGCACCTTATTTATATCAATATGAGAATGCTAAGTATAACATGTACAATTCAATGCAGCTAGACACGACACAACCTACGTCCTCCAAAATGCTTACACGGTTGAGTCAACACGTCTCTAAAACAGATTCAACAAAAACTGAACATTGTAACCTTGGAAGGGGGATTCATTGTATTGTATATTAGACTATTTGAATTTAACAAAATCTACCTTACGAACTGGCAGCTGAGTGTATGTTTTGTTCTGTCTATGAATCAGTGTTAGTGCCTCTTCAGGCTCTCTCCCTTTAATCTCGTCTGTCTCGCGCTGCAGCTGGGTGTCAGGGTGTGAGCGTCACATCACATTTGGGGGAAGGCCACCTCTCTTTGACCAGAGGGCAGCACAGCTGTGTGCAACCCAACCCCCTTGGACTGCTGTACTGTAGGATGTGCATGTGTGAGTGCAGAGCTGCAACCTGCCGGGTCGAGCAGTACGCATGTTTGGGCCAAAACCTGCAGTTCATGGAGTGATCAGTGGAGGTTGGCTCCAAAAGAAGCGAAGGTCATAGAACCCCCTGTTTAAATACACATTTTCACAGCAGAAAAACATGTTTACAGCGAGGTTCCAACTACGTTTTTTGTCTCTATAACTTATATCCCCCTTCTTGACAACTGTACGGGGGTGGATATTACTCACTTGTCTAAATTATATAACGGTTTATACATATTATTCTGGGCATGGTCGCTTTGAGGGACAGGGGGGTGCCTTCTCAGGTCGCTAGTTGCTGTCTGCGCTGCCCTCATGCTCTAGGCTGGGCTATCTTGTGATTGACAGGTCGCTACCTTTGTGTTGTGCGGTCTGTGTGCTTTCCATGTTTTCATTCAACACTTTCTAAGATTGTTTTCAGTTGATGAAAGTTAAAAGTAACATTTTGGTTGCCTAAATATGTCTTTGTCAGCTTCGTCAACCTCTCAAATAATCCATGATTCCAGCATTGGCAACACATGCCTACTCTGCAAAGCATAAGAAGCTAAGAAATCTGAGATGTTGCTAATAGTTTGGTGGGAAGTGTTATTTTCAAATTCTGGTGTTTGTTTTTTTCCTTTTCCAGAAAACTGCCTACCCTATTTTTAACAATTTTGCTAATGATGAGATTGATTAGTAGACGCCAAATATTTTGATAATGAAATAACCTTTTTAGTCATTATTTTTCTAGCAACATTGGCAAACATCCTTTTGTTCCAGCTTCTCTAATGGGATAATTTGTGTTGTGTGTATTATATAATCGTAAACTGAATCTATCCATCAGACATGTGTGGATGTCACCTAGATCTCTAGAGGAATTGGTGATGGACATCTTTCCACTATTTTATGACATTTCAAGTCAAAGGTTAATCAATGGATGAAATGATCATTAGTTTCACCTCTAGGTCATTTTAGTTCAGAGGGGAGATGCTTTACAAATCCACGCACAAGCCTTTAACTCTTTGAATGGCAACCAGTGATCTCCATGCAGTTTCCCATCATTACGGCACACGGGGAGTAAAGTGGATAACGACAAGTGTGACTGCAACTTGTAGGATCCCCGTCACGACTGAAAGGTTAAATTCATTAAGACGACCTGCGAGGCTGCACGTGTGTTTATGGCGACTGGTCACGCAGCAGCTGTATGATTTATCGCTCTCCCACAGGCCGTTATGATGGCAGCCCTTTTTACTGTACATGATCAAAATGATGAATCCGTGTCTCTGCCTCGCTGACAGTTTGTCTCTGTCTCTCTGTCTCTCTGTAGTAAATATTGCCAACAGCCAGGAGTGGAGCCTGAGCAGAACCATCCCCGAGCTCAGACTGGTGAGGAGAAAAGTGACTGTATCTGCATCTGAAACTGAAGAAATGATTGAATTTATTAAGCTGTCGATTCGACTTGTGTCGAGCTGTGCCATTTTATGAAAACAGCACACACTTGGGCATGTAGGAGTTCTCAAATGCTATGTGAAGATTGGTTACTCCTTGATGCTCAAAATATACATTTAGGCTATGAAATCAGGGCTAGTTGATTACTTTTGGTTAATATTAATAATAATAATAATAATAATTTAGTTTTAAAGTAAATTACTACTGCTAACACATCAAATTAGTTTAATTTTGTTAATTTAGAGACAATTATATATACTTTATATACATGTGGATTGTTAAATCTGTTGCAATGAGTGTACAGTAACATTAGATTGTGTATCTCAATATTTAATATGATTCTGCCTATACTTTATTAATGTGCTTTTTAATTCATGCAAAATGTCAAATACAATACATTTAGTTGTAAAAAAGTATCATTATAATGTGATATTGCTAATTTAATACTTTCTCCCCCACTGACTTTATGTTAACATAAGGATGTAGAAAACATTAAAGCATTTTATAGCTGAAACTATAGATTTGTTGCCCGGCTAAAACTGACTGAAACATATTGGATGGAGGTCTGACTGTAATATTATATTCAGCACACTGTGATCGAGCGGCTAGCTGACCGTGAATGAACTTCACGGTGTTGTATTTCCTCTCCTCTTCTCTCAGGGCATTCTGGGAAGTCTAAAAAGCGGCAAGTCAGCGCTTGTGAACAAATACATCACAGGCAGTTATGTTGCACTGGAGAAGACTGAGGGTAAGAAATATTATACACGTCTTCTATAATGTCTGTCCTTCACTGTGGTGGCAAGTAACACATTCATTTCTAAGCTAAGTATTGTAGTAAAAATGTGAGTTACTTGTACTTATTGAAGTCCTTTTTTCTCATGGTACTTTATACTTACACTTCAAAACATTGAATATTGGGGGAGATACATTTGTCCCCCTCTCCAATTATCTGACCAATTGAGTAGTACTAGGCTTTTTTACACACAAAACATATGAAAAGATACAAGCAACTAAAATGACTAGTTCATTAACCAATGGATAGAATAGAACATTTGGGCCATTGTTAATTATGACGCCATTTATTTGACTTTCTAATGTAAAGCACCTGAATACTTTTCCCAACTACTGGTCCTTTCAATAGTTTTCAATAGAGTTCAGTGCTAGTCAAAAACGGTGTTTGGTCAAATGTAATCATTTTTGTTCAGAGGTTATTACTTTGCATGTGCCTGTCATCCTCTGTTTGTCACTCTGCTGACTAACATATCCGTCACTACTCTTGTCAGGTGGCAGGTATAAGAAGGAAGTACTGGTGGACGGACAGAGTCATTTACTGCTGATCCGAGAAGAAGCTGGACCTCCTGATGCACAGGTGTGTGTGCGAGAGAGAGAAACAGAGAGTTATTGTGCAATACTGTGACACCTGCACTGTAACATCCTCCTCCTCCTCCTCCTCTTCCTCTTCCTCCCCCAGTTCAGCAGCTGGGTGGACGCAGTGATCCTGGTCTTCAGTCTGGAGAACGAGAGCAGCTTCCAGGAGCTCTACCAGCTCTACAGCCAGCTGAGCGCACACCGCAGCGACGTCCCCGTGATAGTGGTCGGCACACAAGGTCAGCAGCGTAAAGAATCCTCTGAAACAAAAGAATGACTTGGTTTCACAAAACTATGACTAAGAGTCGCTAAATAATACTTACTTTCTCAAAATAAGGATTTGATAACTCAAAATAATGTCCTAGTATCTTATCATAATTAAAAGCTTTGTCAAAATAATGACACAACAAAATATTTTGAGGTACTAAGTCAGTATTCTCAGGAAGTTTCTCTCTAAAATGACTCTATTATTATTATTATGACATTATCTTGTTTTTTTTAAGCATTTTCACACAAATTGGCCTTCCATGCATGTCAAACACATGACACTGTTCAATCAGCAACTGTTGGAGCTAGCTCGCTATAACAATTACTCTGATCCAACTATATGGTATCTTGCATAATTACTTATTTAAAAAATAAACAGTTTTGGAGTAAATAATAAACGGAAACAGATTAATTAAAACTCCTGAATAGCATGCTCAAATTATATCATATACATAAGAAGTAGTAACACATTAAGAACTGTGTACATTGCTTTAGTCAATGTAGGCTATCGTTTAACCTCTTAAGCACAGCGGTCCCCCCATTGGACCCCTCCCACCTTTTTGTTTTCGAGATAATGTCTCAGGGCTTCTTAACATTTATGAAACTATTATTGTGTAGCACCAGATTAACGGGAAGAATCTCAGCTAACTGAAGATATGAACCATTTTTACCAAAACAAAACACAAGTCTCATAAGAAGCGTCTAAATGACCCCTGAGCGAAACAATTCTAACGCACTGCGGCACACAATTCAAGATAAAAATACCCTTATTACTTATCGTAGCTGCACATACAATATAGCCGATTAAAGCTGAGACTCCACTGATTATTTAGGTATAGTATCATCACTGAGCAATCCGAACTTGCGACAGGGGAAGCAAACACAGATATCACAAGACGTACCTTTACGGAGCATTTACGGCAGATCGTCTCACCGTAGCTGTCAATTAGGTCAAAAGACGTGTTCAATGGCATTAAAACGAAAAAGAAAAAATCTACAACTGTTGATCCATAGGTTGATAATGTACCTGTGCCTTTGAAAAAATTATTTATAATCCATAATTCCATTTTTTACAAATCGGAGCGGAAAAGTTAGCTGCTAATGGTAGCCACCAGAGTGTATGCAGCTTCCGGTTTTGGTAACGCGTCACTCTCACTCCTTATTTGCTAACGTTTTGGTGTGTATATAACTTTCCCTCGATTCCATTGGCTCTAGCGGTTATAAAGAGATTTCATTCATCAAAATCGAGCAAGGGGGGCCAGAGATAGGTCAAATCCACCCAAATGACCCCAGAAGTGGTTTCTTTTTGCTAAATCTCTCTAAAAAGGTCAAATTTAACTTGTTTTGCATCAATCTTGATACAGGGTACTTATTATATGTTGTACTTTAGATTCCTAAAGCTTTTAGTCTACCCATCATCCAAGGGTAGTTTTCACTATAAGTAAAAAAGAATTTTTGGACGGACACTATAATTTACAGTTTTTTATATGTAAAATCTGAATTTTCTTTAAAATAAAAAACATCTATATTGATTCTGACTTTTCTACATCCAACTCACAGGTTTATCATTACTTTGAGAATAAAGATTATTAATTTAACCCTTTTAGAAGGGAAGATATGGTCATTTGTTCTGGGAATGTCATTTTCGAGCCTGAGACCTGAAAAACAGGCTCAGGGCTTAAGAGGTTAGGTAAAATATCAAAAATAAAAGAAGATATATTTACCCCAGTTATCAAAACGTACCTGAAAGAATGTAATCCCGTGCCTGGCTCCGGCAGTACAGAAGTGTTGGTAGTAGTGTGGGCTGATGGGAGAATGCACTCTGCAAACATGTGCATTGTGTTTGTATTTCTCCAGAAATGTTCAGACCCTTTGCAAACCTAATTATGTCATCATTATTTATTGTGATTAACAGTTTTTCTCTACTTTGATCCTGTTATCCTCCAGATAAAATCAGTAGCACCAACCCTCGTGTGATTGAGAACCAGAGAGCCAGACAGCTGTGTATCGATGTGCGTCACTCGCTGTTTTACGAGACCTGCGCCACCTACGGGTTCAACGTGGACCGAGTGTTTTCAGAGGGTGAGTTGGCTGAAATCTCTCACGCAAAACACAGAGTCAGAGGTCTGATTCAGCACGAGGAACAAAGTGTTAATGACACGTACAGTATGTTAACGTCTGCTGTGTGTCTTCCAGCTGCACAGAAGATAGTCGCTCAGAAGAAGCTGGCGGCGCTGCAGGCCTGCAAGTCTCTGCCCAACTCCCCCAGCCACTCAGGGGGCTCCACCCCGGGGTCCGCATCCTTCCCGAGCCAGGTACACATCTCTATTTTTTTAATAGCTGTAGCTAGTGCAGTAATTAATTCATCTTCATGACAAACATTTGGATCTTCTCACATGTGGAATTATAAGACACTACTGGATACCAAAAAAATCCAAAACATAATAAGCCAGCTTCTGGTAACACAAACACAAACATTTTTAAATGATACTAATGCTAATTAGTATTAAACACTAACAGATATACATATATTGGTGTACAATACTTCATTTTGATTATTCCCTTTATCTACTTCTATCCACGACGTTTTGGAGGCAGATATTGTTATTTTTATGCCCGACATATATTAGCTTACGTTCCTCAATCGGATTGTTTATACAAAATATATATGAACTAATTAGCAATCACATGTAATCATAATTATATAAGGAAGTTACAATTAGTTCCACCTTTACCAGCGACAACATTGAAGTGATGAACACATTAATTTTATATACTAAAAACACTTTCAAGTATCTTGGTGTTGATATTTTTGTACTTTTACTTTGAATGCAGGACATTCACTTGTATAAGGAATTGTCAAATAGTATTATTGCTTTTTTACTTTTTACTCAGGTCAAACATCAGAATACTTCTCGATAGGAACTGTAATGATTTAAACAGGAGGAAGTAAAGTATCCTTATACGTTCTTTTACTCAACTATGAAGCTTCCTTCAAAGCTCATCATCAATATGTATGAGCATTGTTTAGCACAGATTCACACAGATACATATTTCTAATCCCCTGACAGAAGGATGAAATAAATATTTTAAAACAATGCATTGATATAAAAGCGCTGAATACTAACACATCCAGGTGTGAAACTTGCTCTTGCTCTTTTGTTTGGGTAAACACAATCTTCTTTTGCAGTCTAGACAGATATTACATAATACCTGATCAAAATAGCACACAGATGAAAGTGATCTGCTGTTGCCATGCTGCTGTTTTCTTACTAAATTGAGCATTTTTGAAGCACCTAAAAGTACTCTGTCACCAAAGTGGCCATTTTCTGAACAGTATAATTGATATCACTGGTTTATAATCAGTGATGCATTCATGTGTCTATCATTTAATTGTGCAGCTGGTAAAGGATGAGATCCCATTAATAAGGTTTTATACTGCCAGGTATTTCCATCCATAAAGTAAAAATAGCAATAGTAGAAGTATAAAGTGGCATAACATGGAACAGTAAAAAGTAAGTAAAGTACATGTACCGCTGAAAGTAAAGCACTTGAGTACGTTTACTTGGTTACTTTAGATCACTGCTAAAGAGCCGTCTTTTTTCTGCACATTTCAGACAAATCACCTCTTGAATAAGGGTATGTAAAAAACCATGTCAAACTAAGGTATTATTTCCAGACTCAAAGTGAGAATGTGTGGCCCTCTCTCGGAGCAGAGTAAGCATTAAATCTGAGGAGGTGCCTTATAAAGTAAAAATCATCAATCAAACTGAAATCTAATTTTCCCCGGCATCTCAAAGACCGTCCATCACTTCCTGTTCATCCATCTCAGCTCCATCAATATCCCCCTCACCTCGCTCTCATTGATCTGCAGCAATCACCCTGTGGATCAGATCCCATTTGATTGTACATTTACTTCACCTGTGTTTCATCTTTCATCCCATTCTCACCCCCTCCATCTCGCCTCGTGACCTCCGCCGTCCTCCACCCCCCCCCGCTCCTCCTCCTCTCAGGCCAGTAATGGCTCGACTTGTGGCTACGCCCACTCCCTCCCCTCCACCCCCGTGATCGCTCACAGAGATCTGCGGGTGGCTCAGGGAGAGGGGGGGGTAGGAGGAAGTGTCAACTCACGCTCGCTGAAGAGCATCCCCCGCCGGCCCTCCCTCTTCAAGGTCAGTTGTCGCCCAAATGCCGAGCGTCTCACACCTCTTACTCCCCCGTCGTCTCTCACCATCATCTCACTCCATCTCACCCTCTCTGCTGTAATATTCTGCTCTTTTTAAAGCCTTTTTTTACATTTTTATTCCAGAACCGGGACTCAGATAAGAAGTCTGGTGATGGTAAAGGAGATCAGAGCAACACGAGAGGCGTCCCTATCAAACAGGTACAAAAAGACAACTGTTAATACATTTAAAAATATATATTAATGAGACTTCAGTTAGCTTGAAGCACAATCATATGCACCATCTCCCTCTTTAGTAAAACAGTGAGGAAAAGCTACTTGTTTCACCTTTTTAATGGAGGGATACAACACAACTATATATCCAGGACTTATTACTGCGCACTTAGATATAATGAATCTCCTCAGTTTGACTTAATCATTTAAGATCAGAATCAGACATCCTTTATAAGTCCCGCAGCGGGGAAATACACATTGCTAGAGCAAAGGTTACAGTTCAGATAAAAGGCAACACAAAAAAAAACAGTAAAATAGTAGACTAACATATTAAATATAGAGGCAAGCACATGCAAAGTAATTGTACACATCCATGGTAAAAAAAAAACATGTTAAAACCCAAATGTGTTGATGCTTTTGTAAACACAGGGTACTCATTTGTGCCAAGGATTTATGACCCTAACCATAGGGTCCAATAAAAATAATTCTTTTTATTTGTGGGCAGGTTAATAAATATTGAAATGATTTTCGCAGAGCACAAAACAAAGTCATTTATTCCAGTAGCCTCCTAAGGCTCTTGTCCTTGGTAGTATAAATATAGAGACTATTTTTACAGCACTGCATTGCAAGGGATTATTGTGAGTAATGGCAACTGATGAGGATATTGACAGCTTGTGTATCATCGACCATATGTGCACTTCATGGTAAAGAGCGAACGCCTGCTCTGTAACCTGCTCTCTCTATACACTAAGAGGGGCTGCACAGAGAAAACAATCATATATTTAATTCAATGATCTGCATTTCTTGTAGGGCTGTGCAATTAATCGTATTTTAATCGCAATTACGATTTTGACCTGCCACAATTACGAAAACAACATAATCGAAAAAAACAATTATTTTGCTTTGCTTGGTTGTGACAGTGCACTGCAACATATTTGATCTAATTTATTTGTATTTATCATATTTATATATGTTTAGTAGCTTGTGGACGTGCGCTACAAAATATTTGTTGATCTTGTTTATTGGTATTTATTATTTTGATATTATTTATTTAAATGTATCATTTATTTTATTTATTTTTGTATTGGTTTTTCAGTTGAATTATACGTTCAGGGTAATCAACAGTTAAAAAGATACTGTTCAAATTATTATTTGTATTTGTTTTAAAGTTCAATAAATGGATGTTTTCAAAGTCAATGAATAATCGTATTTAATAATCGTGATATCAATTATTGACCCAAATAATCGTGATTATGATTTTTGCCATAATCGCACAGCCCTAATTTCTTGGTTATTTTACGTCTGTACATCTAACATGAGCATCCAGAGACAAAACAACCTTTCTCAAGGGTGTTCTATTTATATCGAGCAAGTGCTCTTAGCTATTGTTGTCAGACTGATTTACTCTTTGAGGAAATAGTCTCTTTTATGTCGACTCTAAATATAGGCAGATTGAGATCTGGTGTGTTGTCGCTGCAGAGTGTGACCTTGCTTGTTGTTTTTGACAGAGCATCCTATGGAAGAGAAGCGGCAGCTCTCTGAATAAGGAGTGGAAGAAGAAATACGTCACGCTGTCCAACAACGGCCCGCTGTCCTACCACTCCAGCTCCAGTGTAAGAGCGGGTCGATGTGAAACACACTGTGAAGGATTCTCTGAGGGGGGGATTATATCTGAGGCTTTTTAGATTTAACTGCAGTTTCTACTTCAAAGAGACTGCAGGAACTGCTTTGAAAGTCGTACTCACTATTGATTTCTTATTTTTTATACCCAATGACATTCAGAGTGATTACGCATGTATATTGAGCATGTCATTAAGTTTCCTACACATACATTTATGTAAGTGTTGACATATTTAGGTACTTGTACTTTATACTTCTACTCCACTACAATTAAAGAACATATTGTACCTTTAAGTCCACTTCATTTATTTGCTAACTTAGATTCAGAAAAAGATAATACAAGATGAATTCATTAAACTAAGCTCCATCTTAACCAGCTGCAACACTAGAAGTAATGCATTAAAAATGATAAATACATTACTAATTATAATCCAGTAATATTATATACTGTATATTATTCAGTAATTGGACGTTGTGCCTTATGAATAATCTTACTTTAAAGGTGGGGTAGGTAATTTCGGAGAAACCAGCTCGAGTGCGCTAGAATTTGAAAATACACAACCGGAGAAAATCTGCCACTTCCTTAGAGAGCCCCTCCTCCAACACACACGAACACGCACATGACCAATGAGGGCACGAGATAAGTTTGTGCACAGATGGAAGGCTGACAGGCAGGTAGGCCATCCAGTTATTTTAGCCGGGCCGGCTAAAATGACTGGTCGTACTTTTTACAGTACTACGGCTTCCACAGATGACATTTTTTTATGGATTTTTTGTCAAAGCACTTAAGATATTCATTGCTATCGGGATGTTAAGAGCATTCCATGGAATATAACAAAAAGTGTATCTCGAGCCGGTTTCTCAAACTTACCTACCCTACCTTTAAGTATATTTTTGTGTACTCTTAATCAAGCAAGATTTTGAATGCAGGACTTTGATTTGTTACCGAGTATTTCTTCACTGTTGTATTTCTACTTTTACATACGTGAAATATACAACCGTCCCTTACCAAAAGTATTGAATAAGATTGCAGGCTAACGTATATTATATATATTAATTTATCAGTATAAAAGTAGTATAAAATGGAGAAATTCAAGTAAGTAAAGTAAAACTACCTCAAAGTTCAGTTCTTGAGTCAATGTAGTTGTGGTTTTTCTGATACTAAACAATGCAATGTCTATTTTCTTCCAGCATATCAGGCAGTAACAGCACAGTTCTGCTTACTTAGGCTACTGACTTCTGAATTAAACGTGTCATTTATAAGAGGAAGACATACTTCTTCTTTTAAAACTTGAATATTCTCACCCATCGCCTTTTCTGGGGAAAGTGTCTCATATTTGTTATATATATTCTGTGTTTCAGGACTACACGCAGAACACCCATGGAAAGGAGATCGACCTCCTGCGGGTGACGGTTAAAGTTCCCGGTAAACGTCCCCCGAGAGCGGTGGCTCCTGCGGCCCCCCCCCCCCGCCCGGCGCTGGACCCGGAGTCAACGGGCTGAGCAAGGAGCCCACCGCCGCCGAGACCACCAGTACAGGTAGATATTCTGTATAATGTGTATACAGAGCTTTGTCACTGAGGGCTGAGGGTCTGGGGTTTTCAATTTTAGTATTAGTCTGGTATCTTTCTTAAAGGTCTTTTCCGGTTATTACCTGTCCCCTTGTGTGTTATGTAGCTTTTTCTGCATGTAAACGGTCTGCAGAGTCACAAATCCTCAAAGTACACCCTGTAGCGAGTAAAACTCTAACACAGAAAAGACCTGTCTATGCTGCCCCAGAACGCCTCGTTGGAGATCTCTCTTTTTCCATTGTTTACTTCTTGGGTATAGTGACGTATTTCGGGTATAGTGACGTAACGTAACGTAACGGCTCCGCAGATTGGTCCAAATTGACCAATCCGTGGAGCCGTTACGTTACGTCTGCAGAGTCGTTACGTTTGGACCAATCCGCGGACTTCCTCACACACACTAACTCGGCGGTACGTTGCGAGGCTCGCTGCTGCGAGGAGCGGGACACTGTGAGCTGGCTCACTGGTGTGGGGTCGGCGAGACACCGTGGAACTCAGCCTGGGCACACACACAAACTCCCAGCCAGGCTGTGGGTGTGTGTGTGTTTCGGGCTGGGTTTCGCTTTGTCTCGCTGTCTCGCAGTCGGCCACTGGGCTCACAGGGAGGGGGGAGCAGGAGCTCCAACAAGCCGTTTAGGACAGAGAGTGAATACACATACTATACAGAGACGCTGTATGAGAAACCAATGTGAGTTTGGAAAATTGCACAATATACATTTATTTTAGTAGACCTCAACAATGGAATTATGATCAGTAGAAATGGCCATGACATGGGACCTTTAAGTTATATTTTTGTCAAGAATCCCACGAAAGGACCAAATCCAAAAGGTGATAGTTCAGTTAAAAATGAACTGGCACTCCTTTAGAGAAAGATACTTCTTTTGTTAAGTACTATTTTTCATTTTTAAATATAGAAAATAAACCGTAAAAAATGTTGTTCTCTTACTACAAGTTATCCATTTAACTGACTAATGTACAACTTACTAACAAAATGTGCTTATGCTAATCATATAGAGGCATTAGTAGCTAAGTTGAGACGAATTCACAAATATTCATTGTACTGTAGTAGTTTCAAGTGAAAGTTATAATGCTCCAATTACCTGTAATGTAGTATACTGTATACAATCAAATAAATATATTTTCCCAGTATTTGTTGCATTACGTTGCGTCAAAAAGCTTTAACAAATATGAATATTGTGTATAACATTATGGCATACTGTATTAAAGCTTTTCCCTTCCTCTCTGTCTCTCAGTTCCTCAGTTGTGTCCGTCCACTCTGTCTGTGGTAGAGGATCGCTCTGGGGGTCTGTCGTCTAAAAGTGGAGACCGAGGACTTCAGCGCTGCTCCTCCTCACTATCCACCAAAGCACAGAGTGTTGGTACGTTTCACAGATAATTAAAACTTTCCTCAAGTAAAAAAAAACACTTTAGCTCTCCTATGTCTGCATTTAATGCCGTTACACATACAGTATATGATTCATATTTTTTTATGTCAGACGCCATTGAAGGAGCTGCCGGTCCATTTGCTGGAAAAGACCCCGGACAGTCATCGCCCATGAGCGACAGGAAGAAGAACCGGAGGAAGAAGAGCATGAATCAGAAAGGAGACGCAGCCGTCGGGCAGGCGGAAGGTAAATCCACACAGAAGGTTCTTTAACCATTAACAGCTGCTACTGCTTAAAATGTGCCTGCTTTTAGTATTTTTCTTGTATAAATATACAAATATGAACAATCTATAGTGATATAGGGAGTTTTTTAAACAATGAATAGAAAATGAATGCATCAATGAAGCATTAATGTATATTTTTTAGGCTTTTAATTCCTGCAACTGCTATTCTAAACAAACACAATATTCACAATATTTACATAATCCTAGGCAGTTTTCCTTTTCCTAAAGCCTCTCTGTTGTGAGGGTTTACAGTAGATTAGTGTTTGTCTTCCTCTGAATGTTTCTTAACAGCTTTTTCTTAACACTTGTACTTGCTTTTCTCTGTTTCTCTTCTGTTTTCCTTTCCCTGGGCTTATCTGTCGCTCCGCAGCCAAACGCAAAATGTGGAAATTAAAGAGCTTTGGTAGCTTGAGAAACATTAATAAGACAGGTAACACGTGACGGAGCTTGTGTTGTGATTTACATACAATAACATTTCCCTTTCAGTGTCTGACATCCCCAGCTTCAGTTGTTCATTTGACTTTTTCTCCTCGTAACAACCCCAACATTTATCTTTTCTCCCCTTCCACCAAACTGCTTTTGTTTTGCATTTTCTGTTCTCCCTTCACCGACGGTGGATTCATATTAATCCATTGTAAATTACTCATCTTTTCACACATGCAAATCTTACTTGAGTGTGTTCTGCTTCCCATTAACTCGCAGATGAAGAGAACGCAGACTTCATCATCGTGTCGTTCACGGGGCAGACGTGGCACTTCGAGGCTCAGAGTCTGGAGGACCGAGACTCGTGGGTGTCGGCCATCGAGAGCCAGATCCTGGCCAGCCTGCAGTCCTGTGAGAGCGGCAGAAACAAGGTACACACGCTTTAAAAGCCCCTCCAAAAAACAACTTCCTCAATCAGTGACGGGATCCTACATAAGCACACAGCTGTTTGGCTTCTGCCAGCACTGTTAATCTAATAAAGACACAACTTGCCAGGAAAGCAGAGTTTAGAGACGCGAGCAGCCTTTAGCACTTCAGCACTTTGGCCCGACCAAAAATCGCTTTTAAATGTGCTTTATAAATAAACTTTGATTTGATTTGATTTGATTTAGAATCTGAGCATTTTGCAGCAAAATAAATATTAGTAGGCTGTGATTAGCAGATTAAGTACATCTTGCCCCATCTTTTCCCCACTGAGTCCAACTGCAGGGTAATTCGGGAATGAGGAGCAGGTGAGTATTTGTGAGTCAGGTGACTTGGACTAATAGGTCAATCTGAAGGGGCATCTGGTAGAACGGCATGTCCATATACTTCCTGGAAAATGAGCCTTGGATAAGTGGGAATGAGGCTGAAAGGAGGGACAGAGAGTCTCCAAAATCAATACCATATGATGCAGTGTCTCATTGCACACCCTACATGCCATTATACCAACATTCACATAAGGGGTTTTAGAGTATCACAGTCATTTTAGTTTTTGATGCTGTATTCATTCTTAAAAACACTGATTAGTAATTAGAAGTTGACATTCATTGATACTTTGCAGACAGATGTGCATTGTGTGTTTTAATGTTGGATGTCAAAGGGTATTCTTTTAATTTAGAAAGTGGTAGGGACATTTTGCAGAGTGTCTACCCTGAGAAAATGTAGAGATCTTCTATTGCATTTCCTGCACGTCTACACAATCAAGATATGTATGGAATTTTGTTACATGTTTTGTTGTACTTTTGGTGTTCGTATAGTTATAAATCGTGGAAATATTTCTTGCTCCTTTCTTTCAGACTTCCTCGTATTGTCTAATGTATGCTCCTTATATGCCAAAGAACATTCCTTATATGTGTAAAAGTACTTTGATTCTGATAACACAGCCCTAGTTAACATAGAGCGCAAGATAGATGTAAACAGTTTGTTCTTGTAATCTAAGTAATCGTGTGAAGAAATAAACGATTGAATGTGTGTTTGTTTGTGTTTGTGCAGGCTCGGAGGAGCAGCCAGAGTGAAGCTGTCGCGCTGCAGGCCATCCGCAACGCCAAGGGCAACAGTCAGTGTGTCGACTGTGAGGCAGCGAGTGAGTTTCAAACGTTTAAACATTTTATCTCCCGCTGCAGATTTCCTCTGGAGGATAAATGTGTCTTTTATGTTCCCCATCCAGAGCCTGCAGTTGTGATTTTACAATGTTTACATTTGCTCTACTGTGTTGGCAGAAGTACTTTTTAAAATAAGCAATATATATGCAAACAAATCGTTTTGATGAGTCGAGGTAAAAATGCAAAAGTGTCATAGGCAATAAAATATACTTAAAGGGGACCTATCATGCAAAATGCACTTTTGTACGTCTTTTATACATGAATATGTGTCCCGGGTGTGTCGGGGAACTCACCAAGTGTCAGAAAACACAACCCTCTCTCTTTTCCTCCATACCCAAATCTCTAAAAACGGGGCTGCAACGAAGCTGATACAGATTTGAAATTGTTCTGACGTCAGAAACAGGGAGCTCCGCCTACATGGGCAACTCTCCACCTATCAGGGGAATGGGGGGTTGGGCCACGGCCACGGCCATTGCCGCTCAAAAGCGCTGGAGACGCTGTAGTACATATGCCAGGCCTGTAAGTGGCGCTGTAGTCTGCCACAAAAGTAGCGAAGAAGACTTCTCACAGAATCAGCCCTTGCAAAAACAGGGCTGGAAAAGAGCAAATAGAGTGAAATGAGGCATGGCTAAAATGCATGATCTGTTTGGTATTTTGAAAAAAAAACTTCACAGACATGTTTTATATAGGTATGGCCCTACAATATATTATTCAAATATAGCATGATAGGTCCACTTTAATGTACCAAAAAGTACTCATTATGAAAACCGGCCCATTTCAGAATAACATATATTTTATAACATGGTTATAATTATTAATTTCTTCATCTCTTTAATATTTCAGCTGGCCTATTTCAATTAATTAATTCATATTTTTATAAATGCAATTGTTTTTATTATTCTGGTTAGTTTGGTTATTTCTCCTGAAGATCAATAAAGTGTTATTTATAATATTTTTGTGTTATTAATCTTAATTTGAAAAGTACATATTGTAATTAGTAACTGAAAAGGTTTCAATTGAAATGTGTTGCAGTACAAAGTATATTGTTTGCTTCTGAATTGTAGTGCAGTAGATGAATAAAGTAGCTGAAAATAGATCAAAGAAAAGTAAAATCGAAACACAGATCTGCATTTTTTTTAATGCTATTTTTTTTCTATTTGAGATGTTTACATTTTGGATTGTTTATTTATAGTCTTTTAATTTCTGTAATGTACAATGCCATGTCTTTTTATGCTGCTGCAACGCCAAACATTTCCCAAATTGGGATCAATAAAGTACTTCTTATCTTATCTTATCTTAAAAAGTAGCTATATCGTTACAATTTAAAGTCCTTCCTTCACCACTGCATCTCATTAATCTGTGTAAGTGAATGATCATTTTCTTATCATTCTTCCGCCTTGCAGACCCCACCTGGGCCAGTCTGAACCTCGGCGCTCTGATCTGCATCGAGTGCTCGGGGGTCCACCGTAACCTCGGCACTCAGCTGTCCCGCGTGCGCTCCCTGGACCTGGACGACTGGCCCGGCGAGCTCACGCAGGTCCTGGCCGCCATCGGGAACCACATGGCTAACAACATCTGGGAGAGCTGCACCCAGGGCCGGGTCAAACCCACGCCCACTGCGACACGGTGGGTAACACGAACACAGAATGTTTGATGTTTAATGCTTTTCAGACAACAACAGGCTTCAAATCCACCAAAGTACACAGATCTAAGTCAAAGTCAACTTTATTCAGTTTGTGTGTACAGACAGAGAGATCGAAATACCGTTTCCCACAATCCCAAATACAAAAATACAATATATATAAAAATATGTATAAAATATGTATATCCTATGAATACACAATCAACAGACACATACATACATACATACATATGCACACATTAAGACAAGCACAACAATCAATATATACTAAATAACAGTCACTTCAATTTATCTAATAAATAAAAGTAGAAATAGTGTCACAATTAAAGTCCTGCATTCAAACACTTACTTTAAAGGTGGGGTAGGTAAGTTTGAGAAACCGGCTCGAGATACACTATTGCGGCAATCTTTCAAACAAAGTGCCGCGAGGGACTAAACAAGAGAAAAACATTGTGGACGCGCAAAAACTCAGTCTTTCCAACAGTATGCGTTTGACCTTTTATTTTCAAAGCAAAAGTTCAATAGTCCATATCCATATGTATATTATTTTATGCGTGCGTCCATGCGTGCGTGCGTACGTGCGTGCGTGCGTGCGGTCAATAAAAATTGTCCTTCTCCAGCTCACTCCCCCTCCATCTATCACAAAGCAATAGCAGGTAAAAGCAACCTGATATAACCGCAAACGTCACCACACAAATCCTTTGACACGCCCACCACCTATAGTGACTCAAAAACATGTACCGTAATAAACACAGAAAAAATACTTCAAATGTGGCTCCTACATACACTTTTTGTTATATTCCATGGAATGCTCTTAACATCCCGATAGCAATGAATATCTTAAGTGCTTTGACAAAAACTCCATAAAAACATTTCTTCTGTGGAAGCCGTAGTACTGTAAAAAGCACGACCAATCATCTGAGCCGGCCCGGCTAAAATAACTGGATGGCCTACCTGCCTGTCAGCCTTCCATCTGTGCACAAACTTATCTCGTGCCCTCATTGGTCATGTGCACGTTTGTGTGTGTTGGAGGAGGGGCTCTGTAAGATTTTTTCCGGCTGTGTATTTTCAAATTCTAGCGCACTCGAGCTGGTTTCTCCAAAATTACCTACCCCACTATAAAGTACAAATTCAAATATTTAAAAAGATATATACTTGAAGTTCCAAAAGTACTCAAAAAATATGCCAAATTGCCTCCTTTTTCAGATGTATTTATATTATATTATTGGAATAAAGATGCATTTGTTGGCCTACATCAATGGAATAAATGGCCTCAGTTGTCATGGGAAGTGAAGAGTATTCATAAAATAAAGGATTTACAGTATAAAGATATTTAGTTTTATATCAGTAATTATTCACAATTAGTTTTAGTTGATAGAAACACTTGGTCTCATATTTGCTTACAAACCACTTAGTTATTATCTTATAGTAGCTGAATTGGGGGTCTTTCTGTTGGGGCATTAAAGTACTTGTGGGATACTCAAAAATTGTAGTTATCAAATCGTAAAAAAGCATCAGTTTGTATAACTTGTTAGCTTACTGTCCTTTCAGAAGAAGAAGTTACAATTCCTCAAATATCTACTTAAGATATGTGAATCTGTATTTGCATTTGTGTTAACAGAATCAGAAACAGAATCAGAAACAGAATCAGAAACAGAATCAGAAACAGGTTTATTACCAGGTAGGTTTACACGTACGAGGAATTTGACTTGATGTCGTGGTGCATACATAAAAGTAAAACAAAAATTAAAAAACACAGATAGAGAACTAGAAAAATGTTAAAAATAATAAAAAATATAGTAAAATATAACAGTATTTACATAGAAATGGAATGGAATAAAATATGGAATAAAAATCGGCAGTAATACAAAAAAAAAGGAAAACAGATATTGTTGTAGGCTACATTATTTGCATTAATGTAATGCATAGAGTCTTTGATGTGGCTGAGGTAAAGTGAACGATGTTAACTGTGGTCACCTCCTCCTGACTGGATCTCCTGTGTGTTTGTTTTCCCAGGGAGGAAAGAGAGTCGTGGATTCGTGCAAAGTACGAGCAGCGGTTGTTTGTCCCTCCCCAGGGGCCCCAGCACCCTGACGGAGGCATGCCGGCCTGGCTCCTCTCCGCGGTGACGGAGAGAGATCTGCCCCGGCTGCTGATCCTCCTCGCCCACAGCTCCAAGGAGCAGATCAACGCTCAGCTGAGCGACGCAGCGCCTCACTCCGCGCTGCACGCCGCCTGCCAGCTGGGAGACGTGGTCATGACCCAGCTGCTCATCTGGGTGGGTCTCCACTTCCTGTTCACATTTCAAACCTTATTTTCTGGGATCTTTACCTTGAAAGAGAGTTTAAAGGTCACTTATTATACAAAATCCACTTTTTCATGAATTTTATACATAAACATGTGTCCCCTCTGTGTAAAGAGATTCTGATCCATTTATATAAAAACCTGTCTGAAAATGAGCTGATCAGATTTTGGCCACTTTATGATGTCATAACGATGTGTTGGCTTGTGTAACCATTAGCCAATCAGCAACCAAGGTAACCCCCACCCCACCTTATCACCTGAATCTCCTCCGAGAGCACCATTGTGTTCTTTTTAACCAAATATCTCTCAGAGGGGCGTGGGAAGGGGCTCCTTATTTTCATCTAAAGCAACAGACAGAGAATCAGCACTTTTGAAACAGGGCTGAAACAGAGGGGATTATGGGATGCTGCAATGATCTGTTTGGTATTTGGAGCCAAACACTTCAGAGACATGTTTTGTATATATCTGAGACCTATATATATCTGCAGACACTAAAATCCCAAAGTTTCCTCCAGAGGTTCCTCCCACACACTCCCCCCTGCCTGAAATGCCTCCTTTGGACTCTGTGACATCACTATGTAACACTCACACCTTTATTGGCTAGCTCTCCGACACATTGTTTGTGATAGGCTAAGGGGCGGGACATCTCTAAGCTGTGTACCAATCAGAGCAGACTGGGTTCTGGTTTCAGACAGAGGGTGAAAAGAGGTGCTGCAGTACAGGCAGTGTGAGAACAATAAAGATCTTTTTGAACATTAAAGCATGGAGACATTTCCCAGTAGAGGCAGAACGTACACATATGAAACCACGGGAACTAAACTTAGTATTAAAAGTTGCACATCCCTGTGAAAGTGATGTGTAGATAAGCCAAACTAGACCGATAACGGAAAAAAATAAGGAACAACAACACAGAAAGGTACTGTTCTTCTGTGTATTAACTGCACGTCTGTCTGTATCACATGATTATTAACAGTAAATGAACCCTGTGGTTTCACCTGATCGAAACAAGTTCTTGAGTTCCTCAAAAGGTTCTCGTAACTGTTTGGACCAGTGTAGCATGGGACAAGGAGTAACCCAAACAAATCTAGAGTGGATACACATCTTATCTTATCTTATCTCTAAATAAACCTTTAAATGAGTGAATATCCTCTCTTTCTCCTCACAGTATGGAATCGATGTCAAGGCGAAAGATAACCACGGCCAGACGGCGATGAAGCTGGCCACGAAGAACGGGAGCAAAGGATGCATCGATATCTTGCTCCAGCACGGCTGCCCCAGCGACACGTCGCCCTCCACTGCCACGCCCGTCCTCTCCCGCCGCTCCAGCACCGCCAGCCTGGGCCGCACCAGCTCCAGGAAACGGGTCTCGTAGCGCGGAGGAGGAGCTGGACACGACTGCAGGACGCTCAGTGTTTTAGGGAACCTTTCAAAAAAAAAAACATGGATACTTGACAGGACTTCACCGTAGTACTAAGCATTCAAAAAGTAGTTTCTGAAGACTGAACAACATATCAAACAACTTTAAAAGCAATATTCATTCGATTTGTTGATGACTTATGTTGCTGAAATACTGTGTTGTCGTTGACCTCATTTCAAAATGACTCAAGTAGAAACTTTGTAGCTGTAACTGTAGAGCAGGAGAACTGCTTGTTTCACTTCCTCCAGAAGAAGTGCAATAATCCAACGATGAAAAGCAACAAGTTTGAGAGGTGTCGGATGACTGTCGAGGGTGCTGCTTTTATTCCAATTTGTTGTGACTGGACCAAAACAGCTCTTATTTTCTTTCGCTTTACAAATACAGTTTGTCATGTTGTTAGATATGTGTGCCTGTTGCAGCAGTTTAAAGGCTGGTTTGGCCAATATAAACCGGTTTTCAGTGACGAATCAGCTGAAATACTCCTGCTTAGACTAGAAAAATGAATGGTTTGGAATAAGAAATATGTCAGTGTTACTCTCACAGGTCAAAGATATGGCGTTTTATTATACTGTAAATGTATCTATACTACATACTTAATGTTCTCTCTGTAACGAAGACACAACTGAAAAATCAAAGACTCAATTTTGTAAATGATTTCTACTGGTAGTTTTGAAAATATGTCAAGTTTGTTTTATCATTGTCTATGTTATGATTTCTTACTATCCTACATGTCATAAAAGCATAATCCAGTAAACAAAATGCTTTTTCATAATGTGAACATGTGGGTATTTCATTTGGGATGGCCAGGCGGCAAAGAGACTTTGTTCACGTTCACGTTACTGTTGTGTAGGTCGATCCCATGAGTTTACAGTGAAGTATGAAGAGTTGCAGGTGTCATCAGTTTCTGACACTTTGTGGGTGGTGTGAGTCTCTCATGAGCTAAAGAAATGGTTACTGGGATAAAATAAACTTTTTTTAATTAGCATTATTAGGATCGTTTTTGTGTTTTATTTTGTCTCTCTTTGCCCCTATAACAACATACAGTTTATGGCGTATTCATAGCCTTAGTCGTCGAATGTATGTATATAATACATTTACTCAAGTACTATTTAAATACAAAATTGAGATATTTTGTTTTCTTCCCTTTTACCATTAAATATCTAATTCGCTTAGTTTTATTTTTTAGATTATGTCACGATTTTTAGGGGTTTGACCCTGAACTATGACAGTGCTCACGATACGCATTACAGTGCGTTGGTTGAATCGTAACAATCAGAATCACAATTTACAATTTCTATACTTCTCCTTTGTGGCATGGCAATTGTTGGTAATCTACTGTTTTTTTAAATGTAAAAAATATAGGCAGACAATAACAATGGACTTTTACTATTCTGTGTTGAACTTTCTGCTATTTTATTTAGTCTATGGTTGTATGGTTCAACTCCACTAAAACTCTTACTCAATTTAATTATTACCTTTAATTGTTTTGAATATTTAATTTGAGACTAATAATACAAAATGTAACCAACATAATATATGTATTATAATTGCAGGGCAACATTAAATGTTTTTGGTTAAATTCAGCTACAGTATAATTAGGAGAATATTTTTTAAATAAAAATAACAAATCCTCCTTTACCAGCTACAATAAGGGGATATACAGTCTATGGGATATACACAGAAATGGCATCAATAATTATAACTCGATGAAGTAACATATGTTCTTCTAAAATGGGCCATTGTGAAAGATGATGGCTTTTACTTTGGTACTGTAAACTGTTCTTAAAAGTAGGATTTTTTGAAGTTATCATATAAATACGGTGGCCCTGAAGTGCAAGTCAAAACAACATTTCACAAAACACTTCTACATTTCACAAAACACTACAGCCTATCACAAAACACTACGACATTTCACAAAACACTACAGCCTTTCACAAAACACTACAGCCTTTCACAAAACACAACAGCCTTTCACAAAACACAACTACATTTCACAAAACACTTCAGCCTTTCACAAAACACAACTACATTTCAAAAATTAAATAAACATAAATTGTACTCCATCCAACATACTTGGTGCAGCTCCTCGTTCAGACTGAAGGGGGCGTCCGCAGTTCACTTCTGTTGACATACGTCACAAAAATGCGACGGCAGATCACAAGGGATTTAATGAGCACCAGACTGAAAATCATAATAAAAGGAGAAGAGTATTCTTCGCCTACAAACACATTTTAAATGGGTAAGTCATAACAAGGATACTAACGAGGTGACTTAATTAAAAATAGGTTCATTTTTGTTTCGAATAAGTGTGTAAAATGTGTCTAGTTTAGTGAACAGTCAATAAAAACATGGCTAAACTGCGTTAGCTTCTTGATGGAATTAACGGCTTATAATACATTTTGAGTATAATACTAATACCTCTATGGTTCCTTGGGGAAATGTGTGTTTGTTTTGGTATGTCGGAGACGGAGTAAAGATTATCCACAGCTTTATTTATTTCTAAATCTCTGTCACTGACACTGTATGTCTTGATAGTTATTATATTTGTTTTAAGGATTTACAAAAAAGGTCCTTAATACAATTATTAATTGGGAATACTTCACCAAAGTCCCAGCTCTCTGTGTTTAAAGGTCTGTATTTAATAATTATTTAACTGTAAATTAATCATTTTTTAAAACTATCAAGGCAGAAGCCAGGGTTACAAACAGCCAGTGGAGTGGGAGGTTACCATACTGTACACTCATAAAATGCGTCGCATACTTCAGTTTAGTTGTATACATAAGTGTTCTCTGGGTTTGTAAAGTAACAAAACTAATCTGTCAAACTGTTTGACTGAAAAGGGAGTTTGTTATCACCTTGTTATCATTCTGTACAAGGTCGTTGGGTACATGGGAATACTGTTTCTTCTATATATTTATTACATATTTTAAAGAAAATATAATAATTAAATATTGTTTTATTTAAAGATAATTTATAATTGAAGACAGCAACCAAATTGAGAAATACCAATTGTTGGTTAGTCACCATTGACTTAATAAAAAAATTATTACATTATGTTAACATTGAAACTACTGAGTCTAATTTAGATAGAAATGTTCTTTGGCTTTTGTTAAAATTGTTCAAACTGTTTTGCTAAAAGGTGAGTTTTCCACATCAGTGTATATTTAGTTTATATGGGAACACCCTTTTTTCTTTATATTTGTTGTTATATTTTATTGAATGTCCCGAAAGACTAAATATAGTATGATAAGAACCTTTAAGGACCTTGGTGTTTATGAACTCATAAAATCATAAAAGTATCAAAGATATTCCTTAATTTGCAGTTTAACATTTTAAAATTATAATGGAATAAATTATGAAAGGAGGAAGAGTTCCCCATACTGTTTCACTAACACACATGTTCCTGTTGGTTCTCCTGTGCTCCTGCAGTGGTTCTGTAGCGCTCCAGGTGCAGCAGCAGGATGAGGATCCGGCTGCAGGGTCCCGGCCACGCTGCCGGCCTCCTCGCTGAGCTCAACCGCTGCCGCCAATCACGCCAGTACTGCGATGTGTTCCTGCAGGTCGGCAACCGCACGTTCGCAGCGCACCGTGCCGTGCTGGCCTGCGCCGGGTCGTACTTCCGTAACCTGTTCACCCGGGCTCCGGCCACGTCCTCCGCCGCCTTCTCTCTGGAGTTCATCTCCCCGGCTAACTTTGAGAGGGTGCTGACGTTCGTCTACACGGGGGAGATCCTGACCGACCTCATCGATGTGGGGGTGCTGTACGAGCTGGCTGAGAGGCTGGGTGTGAATGAGCTGATGAAGGCCTGTCACTCCACCTTCCCTGACCTGCAGGCCTCTGTGTCTGTGAAGGCAGGGAGTCCCGGGGAGCTGGACTCAGGCATGGTCTCTGCTGCTGCTGCTGCGTCCACAGGTGTCTCCGCCTCCTCCGTCTGCTCCTCCGCCGCCTCCTGCTCCTCTCTGTCCTCATCAGCAGGTCCATCTGCCGCCCCGACCCCCGCGGCTGCCCCCCCCTCGCCTCTCTTCCAACCCAGGGCCAGCCGTGAGGCTCACACTGGGACTACGTCTCTGCACCTGAAGGCAGAAGACATGGATTCTCATATCGGCTACGGGCAGATCTCAGCGGATCCACCGGGAGGACACAGTCTTTTAACCAGCAGCCAGTCCAGTGAAGACGTACCGCCTCCGGTGCTCCAGCTGAAGATGGAGCAGGGGGTGGAGGAAGAGGAGGCAGAAGGCAGCTGTGAGGACGCAGATGGACGAAGGGTTTCTGAGAGCGCAGGAAGCTCTCTGCCTCACAGAAACCACGCTGCGTCGTCTGACTCCTGCTCCTTCCCAGACTCCTCGGCTCAGATCGGAGCGGAGGCCCCATCCTCCTTGTCCTCAGGAGACCCTCTGAGAGACCCTCTGAGAGACCCTCTGAGCGGCCTGCAGGTGGGGCCGGTGGAGGGCAGCGTGGTGGAGCTGCATAGGGACGGCAGGTTGATGTTGTTTGGGGAGGAGGGGGAGCAGAGGGAGGCTCTGAAGGGGAGTATGGAGGGAACAGAGGAGGAGCAGTGGAGACAGCTGGCGGGAGAGATCATCGAGCTGAGTGACGACGAAAACTTCATGGAGGACGGTGAGGAGGAGGAGGAGGAGGATGAAGATGACCTGGTGTATGTGGAGAACGGAGAGGGCAGCCAGGTAATAAAACACGTATGTCATGCAGGTGTGAGACCAGAATCCGAATGCCTTTATTTGTCCCCAATGGGAACATTTACACTAAGAGTGCAGATTCATTAAAAAGAGTGGACTTACATATTATATAAAAAAGTAGGCACACGTTATTAATAATAAAAACACAAGTAATACAAAATAAATATGTACACCTTGGTAAAAAAAAGTAGCAGTATATTTTAAATAAATTACAATAGATAAATATAGGAGTAACTTATTAAATATAGCGACGCAAAGCTCACATTAGTAACAATAGAATACAAATAAGGACACAACCATGGCTAAAAATGAGGAACAGCAATTTAAAGAACTAAGTGACATGTTAGGTGTTGAGACATTAAAACAATCTGCACTGGCTTCCTGTTACACAAAGGATACACTTCAAAATCTTTCAACACAATAAGCACTTCATGGATTGGGACCAACATACATGTCAGAGAGGCTTCACTGTTACGAGCCAGCCAGAGCTCTCAGGTCAAACTCCCAGAGTCAGAACTACATTTGCAGAGGCAGCTTCTAGCTCTTATGAACCACACGCTTGGAACAAACTACCTGCAATTCTGAGGTCCGCCCCAACCCTGGGCTCTTTTAAACCAAGGTTAAAAACCTGCAGCCTATCCTGAGATACTTTAACCGTGCCTTTATCATTGCACTTTTAGTTGCAGCCAGTATTTCATCGCTTTATGATTTTTATTTTATTTTTTTATTATTATGTGTTAAATGCCTATGTGAAGCACTTTGAATTGCCTCTGTGTCTTAAAATGTGCTATACAAATAAACTAACCTTGAACCTTATAGAATTGTTCGGACATTTATAACAATGTATGTTTTTCACATAAAAGTGATAATTGTACAGTATAGCAACAACATGTCTATATTGCCCCTCACTCAGCGGTCCTGCTCTCCTCTCCTCCAGGTCAACGTGTTCTCCTGTAAAGCGTGTGCGGCGGCGCTCCCAGCAGACCCGGCGGCCATCAGGAGACACGCAGAAACCCACCTGACGGAGCAGGGGCTCTGCAGGGTCTGCGGGGCCTCGTTCCCAGACCGCCACGCCGGGCTGGCCCACTCCCACTCCCACGTGGGGGTGCAGCTCTTCACCTGTGAGATGTGCCACCTGCAGTTCTGCAGCCAGAGCAAACTGCTGCGTCACCACCGGCAGACGGCCTCCAGCTACACCATCCCCCAGGGGGCGCTGACCAGCAGAGGGGAGGGGCCGGGCACAGAGCTGCAGTGTGCCGTGTGCAACAAACCCCTCAGCAAGGACTTCCAGGTGAGGGGACACTGAACATGTGTTGCCAGTCTGTGGTGGGAATGTATTTATCACATGTGGATAGAGAATCAAACCATTCAGCTGTCTTTGTCGTATTTTATTTCTTGCAAGAAAGTTCAGTCAGTCGTACAGAGAGCATCCAGCCTGCAGAGTGAACGACCAAGAGTAGAGTTTGGGTTGCATATTTAAACACAGAGAGAGGAGAAAGGGAAGCTTGGTGATACTGAAAGGAGCATTCTGGAAGTTTAGGGAGTTAGGAGGCCGTATCAGGAAGTTCTCAGTTCACCTGAGGTGAAGGTCATACTGTTGGGGCACTAACAACACTGCAACACATCTTCTTAATAAGGAATGTTCCCAAGCTTAGCTAACAAGTGTGAGAAGTAGTAAATATAGATAAACATTAGCAAATAAGAATCACACTATGATATTATTTAAGTAAGTGAGTTTAATATTTTTCTATTACACAGTCTACACCATGGCCTTTGACCCCTAACCCATCACAGTCCCCCTGCTTCCACTCCCACTGCTATTTTACATGTTACTTGTTTATTTATCACATTGTTACTTTATTATTTGCCCTGTTTGTTTGTTTGTTTGTTTGTTCACAGCGTGTAAAGCGGCCTTGGGTCCCTAATGAAATCAAACTTTATTTAAAAAGTACTTTTTAAAACATGGGGGGGAAATAAAGGTAAACAAATTCAGAACTTAAAGTGGACCTATCATGCTATATTTGAATAATATAGTGTAGGACCATACCTATATAAGGCATATTTATACTTTTTTTTTTTCAAAATACCAAACAGATCATGCATTTTAGCCATGCCTCATTTTGCTCAATTTGACATTTTTTATCCCTGTTTTAGCAAGGGTTGATTCAGTGAGAACAGCACCATCTACTGGCCTGGCATATGTACTACAGCGTCTCCAGCGCTTTCGAACGGCAATGGCCGTGGCTGTCTCCTCCTGATTGGTGGAGTTGGCCCAATAGCCGTAGCGCCACCGTCCTGACGTCAGGACAGTGTTCAAATCTGGATCAGTTTTTATTTTTACCGTTGCAGCCCCTTTTATAGAGATTTGGGTATGGAGGAAAATAGAGAGGGTTGTGTTTTCTGACACTTGTGGCGCATTTCCACTACACGGCCTCGCTCGGTATGGCTAGGCCTCGTTAGGACTGGCTCACTTTATGGCGCATTTCCATTACAGTTTAGGAACTGTGGTAGTATCTATAGTAACGCAGTGTAGGCGGAGCCGTGACGTGATCTTCAGAGAACCCCAGAAAAACAACACAGCCGTTAGCTGTTAGCACTCAGAGCTCACAGCTCCTCATATATGTTCAGAAACTAGACAAAAGTTAAACAAGTACAAACCACAGACTGCCTGTGTCATGGTGAAGACAGTCGCTGGTTTATTTATGTCCGTATAGGCCGTTGTTGTGAGTGTGGACGGTCGGAGCATATACTGCGTTAGCTTAGCCAATCTCCATTTAGAAAACACGCATTTTAAAAGGTTTTTCGCCTGCCGTCTGTCTGCAGACTTGTCAAAGCATTAATTCATGGTTTTTACTAACCGGTATCAGTATGTTGTTACTTCGGCATCATTTTGAAACGTGTATTACAATTAAATCACGGTCAAATATGTCCATCTTGTTGTAGTTGTAGCCCCCTTGCCAGCGATTCTCTCTCTAGTTTAGCATACTCAGCCCGACTCAGCCTCGTTGTCTCTGGCCCTAGAACCACGATTTTATGAGGCCAGGCCAACTGTGAATTAGGACCCGCCGGCCGGTACTAGGCCAAGTCGAAACGCAACCAAAAACGGGCCGCTGACGTCACAGCCCTCTTAAACCGTGCTCCGCGCTGTAGTGGAGACGCGCCATTGGTGAGTTCCCTGGAACACCGGGGACACATATTCATGTATAAAAGACGTACAAAAGTGCATTTTGCATGATAGGTCCCCTTTAAGAATTAAATAAAATCAGGCATCTAAAATCAAATACACAATTACATTTTTATAAAAAATAGATGATAAAAAGGGGGTTACATAATAAAAATGTACAAGCGTACGGTAAATTATTTCATTCTTAATTGTATTGCTCATAAGTAAAACAATTAAATAGAAAAGTATTATTTAGAATTTATTGTCGGATAATAGATTGATTGTTAAATAATTTTCAAATGTTATTTGCTGTCAATATGCCACATAAACAATATTATTAGATTATTAACAAAACGTATAGTTCTATCACTCCGGTGAATTTCTACTCTTGGAATAATAGAAGAATAAACAAATAAAGTAGAAATCTAGCTCAGAATTCATTAATACCAGAAAACTGATTTTACAAAAAGACATCTGAAAGTATCATGCATTATTTTGTTCCCTGCAGCCACATGAGATCTCATATCTACTCTTCCCTGTCTGTCCCCTCCCTTACAGTCGGTCAGAGACCACCTGCTGAGCCACGTGTGTCCTCAGAGCCTGAGCTGTGGGGTGTGTCGCCTCCCGCAGCTCTCCCTGTGCTCGCTGCTGTGGCACGGCCTGGCCCACCTGTCGCTGCCCGTTTTCAGCTGCCCGCACTGCGCCTGCTGCTTCGTGCAGCGCTGCATGCTGGACCGACACATGGCGGCGCACGCAGAGGAGGCGGCGGCGAAAGAGCGGGAGCGTCTGGCGCTGAGGGCGTTCAGAGTCGGGTCGGACGGGGATGGAGACGGAGGTTCGGCAGGAGTGGAGGAGCTGCACTGCTTCCTGTGCCCGCAGTCTTTCCGCTCCACCTCTGCCTTCCAGTACCACCTCGGCTTGCACAGCACTGAGGCCCCTGGTGGAGGAGGGGGGGTCCCGGGCTGGTTTGGAAAACGTAAAGCTGACCAGCCTATGGAGTGCCTTGCCTCTTCCTCCTCTCAGCGTGAGGTTGTGAAAATGAGCAACCTGGGTTTGGGGATGAGCTTCAACTTGCCAGATAAGTTTTTTCAAGGTTCCATCCACAACCTGCCCTCGGGGGTCCTGACCAACGGGAGCGCGGGGCAGGACATGGGGGTCGGGGCAGCGGGGGTCCGTGGGAAATGGTACCGGTGTCGCTACTGTGGCAAACGCTTCGCACACTCGGGGGAATTCACCTACCACCTCCGCATCCACACAGGAGAGAAACCCTACCAGTGCAAAGTGTGCCTGCGCTTCTTCAGAGGCCGCTCCACCATGATCTGCCACCTGAAGACGCACGCCGGCGCGCTCATGTACCGCTGCACCGTCTGCGGACTCTTCTTCTCCACGCTGAAGATGGTGGCGTCGCACATGGAGCTGCACAAGGACCACTTGCCGCTGGACTTCAACATCGAGCAGACCTTCATGTACAACGATCACTCTAAAGAGCCGCTGCCCACTGTGGACGCCTGACGAGCTCATCTTCGCTTCACTGACACTTCCTGTGTGTCTGGTTGTCGTGGACCACAAACTGCTATAAATAGAATAGGGCTGGAACTATTGTATATTTTTATTTATCTTTTTTTGTTGATGAATAGTCTGTAAAATGCCAAAACAATTATTTTAAAGCACATTTTGATTCTGAGGTGACATCAAGTTGTTTTTTGGATTGCTAAATCTTAAAAACCACACATTACTTTTCTGTTTATCCATTTATTACGTCACCTCTTTAACATGTTTATACTTTAAGAGCGTAGTGGACATATATAATCTGTCAGATGCTGTTCATTGAGTCTGAGGTGTCTCTTTGAACTAAGATAAAAAGCAACCACTTGATGGCAGTGTATCATATTTATCTACTCCGATTGAGTCTGTAACTTTATAACTTTAATATGGGGATAGGTTTGTATGTCAGTGGTTGATAATTACACTGTTATTAAAGTAGCACCTCATTGTAGCATATCAATTATTTTCCTAGAGTTGCAGTCACTATTTTCACACTTTTTGAAGTTACATTTTTGACACCACAGGTACAGCATGACCATCCACTTAAGAGTGCTTTTTATTTGTCATTGAATCATGAAACGTGTTGTTTTATGTTGAATAATGTTTCCTTCTATATGCTTTTAGAATGTGCATTTTAGCCACATGCTGTGTTCACTTGTTTAGAGCGTGTGAGCGTGTTGTAGAGATATTTAAATGCCCATCACCTTTCTGTGTGATATGTGTCTTACCTCATATTTATGATGGCAGTGTAACTGTTATTTGCCTTTATACATATCTGTTTTTCAAGCTATGTTTGAATGTTGGCCTTTTTTTAAATATGGTTTCTTAAAAATAATTAAATAAATGCCTTTTGGAAGACTGTTATCACCCCCTGATGATCTGTTTTTAACAACCTTTTAGAGTGTCCTGAACCAGGGACGTGCACAGACATGTTGGGGGGCAGGTGCTCAAGTGAGAAAAAGGGCACTTCCCATAATCATTTATTAAAAAAAAATTGTAAAACAAAACGTTAAATATAGTTGCACATCTCTGACTTACTGACCAATTTATTTTAATACCCTCACACTCACGTAATTGTTTAATACTCAGCAGAATTCTACAAAATAATCAGCTAACACAGAGACAATGGCCTTCTAGTATTCACTAAGCACAAGAGCAGACAACAAACTAGTACAATTAATAGTTATTAAATGAGCAGCCAACAATCAAAATTATGAAGTTACTGTTTAAGGACATTACAGGCAAAAATATCGTTTTTTCATGTAGGCCCTACTTGTTATTTTGGTCTATTTTGCTTCCATGTTTTCTTTCATTCTAATGGAAATAAAACTTCCAAGAAACACATATAAATGGTGTTCGTTTTACTACCATGTCTGAATTCATCTATGGATTTAAAGCTAATCTGCATTTAAACATAACATTTCAGGGGAAAATACTGACTTGACGTAAGTAACTACTATATAAATATGTTTTTTTGTTTGTTTTTAGTTTGATCCTTTTCACCTGGAATGTCTTGTAACTGCATGCAAATTAGCGCATTTTAATTAGGCCTAGTTAACGCCTAATTTGCATATCAATGTGGCGATTGTGATGAAGTTATTAGATACACATTTTACTGTATTCCCCTTTAGTGTCTCCCCTTAAGTAGCCTACAGTACATTTATAGCCTGTAGGCTATGCCCATGATAAATTGCCTTAGCTAAACCTTGAGCTAACTTATCCATTGGCTAGTAGCCTACCTTAGTTAACTATATGTGTTATTGTCTTTTAGCTAATTAGCTGTAAACTGGAGGCACTGGCAGTTTAGTAATTTGTTCATCTCCATTCACCTTCAAAATAAGCCAAGAAAAGCCGGCATATCATGGGACTGTAAAGTGGAAGGTGCTGCTACCTGTCTGTCTGAAGTGACTGCCGATGTCCGCACCGCTGTGCAGGAGACGTGGAGGGAGGGAGGGAGGGAGGGAGGGAGAGCTACGGAACTTCAGTCTAATCTCCCGACCTGATATTTTAATTTTGTATTCAATCAATATATTTTTGGAAAGGGAAACTGTGCGCAAACAGCAGTAGATATATATTCATTTATAAAAAAAAAAAAAAGGGGGGGAAAAGGGCACTTTCTCTGGAGGAAGAAAAAGGGCAGGCTCAAGCCCACTTTGATGTCTATGTGTGCACGTGCCTTTCCTGAACCACAAAAAAACATCCATCATCAGATTTCCAGTGATGAACTTGCAGAGATGTGCGCAGTTTTGTGAACCTCCTGCTTCCAGGGGCACGTGACCTTTGCCCTTTTGAAAGCCGCGGTCTCTTCCTGCTATTGTGCCATGTGTGGACGAACATCCCCTTTTCCTTTTTCTGCCTCCTTATCATTTAAACTGTTGAAAGTGAGACATTCCAGATGGACAGGAATGGAAGTAAATGTAATAAAGACTGTGAGAAGGGAGATAACTAAGTGCAAGAGCGGCAAAATGTCTCGGTAAAATAAACTTAAGCTTCAAAACATTCACGTCCCGAAAGCTCGTTTCTGCTCTTTGTGATAAAGTGCAAGCTCAGGTTTTGCAGCTTAAACGCAAACAGTGTTTTATGAAGTGTTATTATATGTTACAGCAAATTTAGACTACAGCAGCATCCTGGAACAGATAAATAAGAATGAAGTAATGATTTATCTGTTGAAAGTTAAACAGTTGCAAGATGTCTATGAGGATTATCTGGCACGATCAGCTTTGTTTACACACATTCGTTCCTGTTGTGGCACGGTTATTCTGTGCCAGGAGACCTTGGAGCAGGGGTCTCCAACATGTTGATAGCTCACGAGTTCTCAATAAGTAGCTCGCCAAGCAAATTCAACATTTTAAAAATACACACAATAAAAAAGGAAATGTAATTAAAAGAATGTAGGCCTACCCTATGCATAAACGAAACCTCCATCATAGCGAACTCTATCTACATACTACAACTCTATATCTATCTAACAACCCTCCTCCCCCCACCCCCCACAATGAATATCGACCAATCACGTTGTTGCTTGATTTGCGGGACCAGCGTTGGAGTCGGGAAGAAAAGCAATGAATAAACAAGCTTAAATGATTTGTTGTGATCATATTCTAAAGATGTTTGGATTAATGAAAATTATACAGCTCCCTTTCATACTGTACGAGTGTTGAGAGCTGTATCCATAAATTCATTTTGTGCTCAAAGTGCACCAGATTGATGCAATTAACTTGCCCCCGGACCCCCGAGAGGAGGTGAGGTCCAGCCCCAAATAAAGCAGGATAAAATAATTAAATTGCATACATTTTCTTTTAGTAAACACTGAAAACGGGTCCCACAGACCCAAACAGCACACATGGTTAAAGGTAAGCATATAATAATGTTAAAATGTGCTAAATATTGTTGTAGCAAACACTGTGGTGGTGGCTTAAAGCCCACCTCCGCTACGCGCCGTTCGTTTGTGAGCCTGGTTATATTTAATAAAAGAAGGAATTCAAAACACCGGAATAAAGGTTATAACAATAATCTGATTTTACTGGTAAAAAACAAAACACGTATACAAGTTTACAGAGTACTCTGGACTTCCAGTTCTACCGCCGTGCAATACAGGTATTGGGACCAGCCAGTCAGAAACAGGAAGTATTTTACATGCATAAACAACAGTATTCATATCCATATTTTGGGGCGGAGATGTGTTGATTCTTCCTTCCCACTTTACTCCGAAGCGAATCAGAGAGTCCGTGGGGAGGAGCTGTGTGAGCTGCTCACTCCCCCAGGTGTTTTTACTGGTTGGATTCACTTCTGGTCGGGTCCAATACAGCGAATCAGAGTTCTGGGAAAAAGTATGTTTTCTTCTGAGCAGAGCGTGAGATTCGGAAGTACACAAGGACAGAGTCAATCTTTATCTCTGCACCTATATTCACTCCTTTACTTTCCCAAGGAATATTTCACACAAACTATTCTTTCCCAGACAACCAAACATTGTACACAGATATATTGATGCCCAGAAAGGACCTTGAAAAGAATATGTGTGTGTGCTGGTGGGAGGAGGTGTATGTGTGTGTAGGGATATCTGGGTCAGTGAGTGTAAGTGAGAAAGACAATATATATGTGATTACTTAAAACAGTTCAAACAATACATGTTCACTAAAATACAATTCAAAATAATACATGTTTACTTCAATACAGTTTAGAACCATATCTGTTTACTTTAATATATACACTGCAAAAAAACTAAAAAAGGAGTAAAAGTAGATCACGACTTGTTTTATTTTTTGAAAGTAGCCCTCATCCTAAAAAAGGTTGGAGACCCCTGCCTTAGAGACTGCCATGGGTTCCTGTGGGAGTTGAGCAGCTTAAACAACAAAAAAAGCACTTCAAACATTTCCTGCCTTCCTCTGTGATCAGATACATGGTAAAAAACAAAAACATAACAGGAAATGGATTATGAGAGTGAGGCTGTAACAAACATCACAATGAGTCTCTGACCAGAGTGAGATGATCTGCACAATCTCCATTCAGTTCTGTCAAATCTTTCCTAGAAAACGTCTCGTGAAGTTTTCTCATCTCAGCTTCTTTTTTTTTATGATCCAACATCGGACTGGCTGGTGCTGGCGTTACTTAACTTGCGTTGCTTCCCCGGGTCTCCCCCTCCTCCGTTGGGAGCGTTGGTCCCGGCTCCCAGCTGGTTCCCGGCTCCATCTCTGGGTAACTGGCTCAGCACGGTGTTGACCAGGTTGTCTCGGAAGCTCTTGCTGAGGAAGTTGTAGAGGATGGGGTTTGCCACGCAGTGAAAAAGAGACAGGCTTTGCACCACCGTGAACGAGAAGTACAGCACCTCCATCGTGTTGCAGCTGAAGATGAAGGGGTCGATGTCATCCACGATCATCAGGAACAGGACGAAGTGGTAGGGCAACCAGCACAGGACGAACACCAGGGAGTAAACGTGAACCAGCCACACGTCCCGCCGGCCCTGAACATCCGGCGCCGTCCGAACCGCACGAGCGATCAGCACGTTGCAGGTGATGATGACGGCGGCGGGGCCCAAGAACTGGAAGACCAGGCAGAGGAAACCCACGGAGACAAACCACTCGCTGGTGTTGTGTTCAGGTATCATGTAGCAGCCCGGCACGTCCCACTCCAGAAGATCCACATGGACGTTCTCCAGCAGCGTCAGGAACAAGGAGAGCACCCAAAGGCCTCCGCAGAGCACCCAGCGGCGGCGGCCCAGCACGGGGAAGAAGGCGGGAAACGAGGGCCTGGTCAGGGACAGATAACGCTCCGCGGTCATGAGGGCCAGGAAGAAGGAGCTGCTGTAGAAGTTGACCGTGTAGACGAGGTGGGTCACCTTGCAGAGGAAGCGTCCCCACAGCCAGACCTTGTCCATGGTAACCTCCATCATGAAGAACGGCATGGTCACGATCACCATGAGGTCCGACAGGCTCACGTTGAGGATGCAGAACTGGATCCCGTTGGCCGAGTGGCGTCGGCGCCAGTTGACCCAGATGACCAGCACGTTCTCCAGCAGGCCCACCATGAAGACGAAAAGGTATATGAGGAAGAGGGCGATGCGCCGGTAGTCTCCGACAGAATCCAGGTCGATGGTGCAGTGGTAGAACCATAATGTGTCATTATATAAATCCAGCGTGGCGTTGTGCTCGTGAGCGCTCATGGTCTGGAGTGAAAAGCAGAGGGAAAACTGTTTCATATAACTGGAAATAGTTCTGGGGTTAATCTGATTATGTTACACAACAGAAACTCAGGAGGAGGGTGCGAGACGTGCTGGGTTGGAATATTACAAAAAGTAGTTTGAGAGTCGGATATTAAAGCCTCAACATATGAGAAGAAGCAAAAACGACAAATGGAAGTTATAAATGTCTCACTTTGAGGTGCTGTGAGTAAATATTTGGTTTAGTTTATAAATTATACTTGCTGACTCATTGCACATTTTGTCATTTAAAAGGCGCAGTGTGTTGGATTTGGCGACATCTGGTGTTTTGGTTGCAGATTGCAGCCGAACTGAATAAAGGCTATTCCGTCTCTTTGAGAGACCGTTGTATCTTTCACCAACTTTACCTAGTTTAAAAGCCATCCCTAACATAGCAATATTTTAAAAGCAATACATCTCAGGAGGCGGCTGGTGTTACCGCAGCTTTACAAGCATGTCGGAGAACAACTTCAGGTATACACTGTCTAGAGAGCATTTGATTTGTCCTTTCTAAACCAATGTAGGAACATGGTGGTGCAACATGTATTCAGACTCCATGATGAGGACCTTTTCCCCTATCTTTATATTATACACTCATATAAACATAGTTCTGTATAATTTATTACATTTCTGCGTATTGTTCCCCGAAATACTGCACGATGGCCCTTTAAAGAGTAGACTACTGCACATATTTAGCAACACTGTTGTACTCCCAACGACTAAATATCAAGAAATGTTTTATTACTGTACTGTAGTGTACATGCATTTTTTCTCTCTAAGAAAAACATGACGCCTACATTACCCATAATGCCACTAACAGTCTGATGGTAACCCGACTTGCAAAACTCTTGCAAGATGTGTAGGCTTGAATAGCTAAAGTTAGACTTTGACCTTGAATGGGTAAGCTTTCCATTTTATTTAGAAATGTATGGTGGAAACAGGTTGTTACATCACAAACAAATATATTACTGTACCTTGTTGTGAAGAGCTGCGTTGTGTACGCTGTGTTTCTGAGTGAAGCCTGAAGCCACCAAATGACTCCTTCCAGCTCTGATGTTAACAGATATCTGAGCAATCAAGCAGCCAGGAGCTTCTACCCTCCCATTTCTCATTAACACACACACACACGCACGCACGCACGCACGCACGCACGCACGCACGCACGCACGCACGCACACACACACACACACACACACACACATATACTCACACACACACCCATACTCACACACACATGACAGGACATCCTCAGTGGGGAGTGGTGTAGAAATCCAGGTTTTATACAATATAAACATGTATTTCAAAATGTATATTCAACACTCATGTGAGAATAGGACATAGAAACTTGGGTGTTGCCATTTTCTGCTGCTTCTTGTCACCATTGAATTGAATTCCTTTATTCAAATTTACAAGCATACTGTAAATTATTTCGTTCTTAATTTTATTGCTCATAAGTTAAAAAAAATTAAATAGAAAAGTATTATTTAGAATTTATTGTCGGATAATAGATTGATTGATAAATCATTTTCAAATAAATGTTATTTGCTGCCGATATATGCCACATAAACAATATTATTAGATGAATTATGAAAACTTGTAGTTGTGTCACTCCGGTGAATTTCTACCCTCAAGAAAAAGCAAGTAGAAATCTAGTTCAGAATTAATTAATACCAGAAAACAGATTTTACAAAAAGACATCTGACAGTATCATGGAGAAAAAGAAAGACTATTGCATTATTTTTTTCCCTGCAGCCCCATGAGATCTCATATTTCAATGTGAGACAATCATTAAAGGTGGGGTAGGTAAGTTTGAGAAACCGGCTCGAGATACACTTTTTGTTATATTCCATGGAATGCTCTTAACATCCCGATAGCAATGAATATCTTAAGTGCTTTGACAAAAAATCCATAAAAAAATGTCATCTGTGGAAGCCAAGCTACTGTAAAAAGTACGACCAATCATTTTAGCCGGCCCGGCTAAAATAACTGGCCTACCTGCCTGTCAGCCTTCCATCTGTGCACAAACTTATCTCGTGCCCTCATTGGTCATGTGCGCGTTCGTGTGTGTTGGAGGAGGGGCTCTATAAGGAAGTGGCAGATTTTCTTCGGTTGTGTATTTTCAAATTCTAGCGATCTCGAGCCGGTTTCTCAAACTTACCTACCCCACCTTTAAATTAAATGATCAACACAAAAAAACGAATAGGCAACTATTTTGATAATAGATAAATTGTTTAATAATTTTCAAATAAAAGTAATTTGCCGCCAATATATGCCACATAAACAATATTATTAGATTATTAAGAACACTTGTAGTTGTGTCACTCTGGTGAATGTTTACATAAGACATCTGACAGTATCATGGAGAGGTATTTTGATACCTGCCTGCAGCCACATGATTCAAAGGTTTTAGGATTCAAAGGTTTTATTGTCATGCACAAAGTTACAGTGTAATGGCAATGAAATTCTTCCGACCTGAGCTCCGGCGAAAGAGCGGGAGCGTCTGGCGCTGAGGGCGTTCAGAGTCGGGTCGGACGGGGATGGAGACGGAGGTTCGGCAGGAGTGGAGGAGCTGCACTGCTTCCTTCCAGTACCACCTCGGCTTGCACAGCACTGAGACCCCTGGTGGAGGAGGGGGTGGTCCCGGGCTGGTTTGGAAAACGTAAAGCTGACCAGCCTCTGGAGTGCCTTGCCTCTTCCCAGAGCCGGCCTGACCCATTAAGCGACATAAGCGGCCGCTTAGGGCCCCGCAGCCACTAAGGGCCCCCTAGCAACAACAACAAATGTGTAGTATGTGTGATTTTTAAGATTTAGCAATCCAAAAGTTCAATATTGGATATGGTAGGTGAATTCCCCCGAGTGTTTGCCACAGTAGCGACACCGGTACTATTTACCACGGACCCCCGCTGCGCCGACCCCCTTCGCCTGACCCGCGCTCCCGTTGGTCAGGACCCCCGAGGGCAGGCTGTGGATGGAACCTTGAAAAAACGTATCTGGCAAGCTGAAGCTCATCCATCGCCAAACCCAGGTTGCTCATTTTCACAACCTCATGCTGAGAGGAGGAAGAGGCAGGGCCGGCCCTAGACTTTTGGGGGCCCTGAGCGAGCTTTGGCTTGTGGGCCCACCTCACTCTAGCGCGTTCTCACTACACACAACACGGAAGCAACTTTTGTCTTATGATGTTAGCATAAGCACACATATTGTATAAATAAGCATGTAAACACCGTGGACCTGACCTCCTCTAGGGGGGTCCGGGGGCATGCTCCCCCGGGAAGAATTGTTTTTATATATTGAAGTTAAAAGCATCAATCTGGTGCACTTTGAGAGCAAAATTTAGAGATCTATGGATACATCTCTCAACACCCATCTCAAACAGAACTGTAAACAGATTTTTCTTTATGGATATTTTACAAATCACTCCCCTTTTAAACTGTATTCTTGTTTTGTCATATAGTATTTCATAACTGTTTTTCATTTATTCTCTCTGGCTGTCCATCTCATAATGTTCACATAGAAACTAGCTGTCAATAGGAATATCATTCAGAAGAATGATAATTTCATGCAAAAATCTGTCACAAAAAGAGGTTGCACATTTAAATTCAGGTGTTGTTATGGCAACGTCAGTGGCCAAACAGCCACATTTACTGCTGCAAATACGTTCAAACATGCTGTCGACACGTAAAGCAGTGGCAACTATGCCACCATTTCAGCTGACTTTTTCTCAGAAATACTGTCACATAACATCCATATATTTCAGTGCTAGGTTGATGCTTAGCTAAGCTAACTACAGTATGAAACACTTTAACTGACAGGACTCAGGATCAACTGTGTACTGTAAGGTAGCTTCTAGCTTCATGTCGAACAGTAAGTCAACATTTCCCTGAGAGCTTTCTTTGAAATCACCAGGTAACGCTAAAAAACATTACTTTTAGATTGTATGACAAAGTGTTTATTTAATATATCTGGCTAGCTATAGCTACTTGCTAACGGTTTAGCTTACCCCCGCGATTCAAAGTAACGTCAACGTAGCTGTAATTTATGCTTTGCTTACATGTTCGCATAACTTGGAAGTTTACTGACATTTACATACCTTGTTTACCTGGCTCGAGTGGTGGCTCTGGGGTTGTTGTGTGAGCCACCACTTGAGAATTGTCGTCTTTTTTAAGAAAAAATGTTCTTATGTCCATCTTCAAAAACTCTGAGTCCGACTGACAGTTTATTTTAAACATTATCACCGCTCACAGGATAGGTACCTGTGCCACAGCATTCCACTATAGTACTTCAATTCTTTATTCTTCCCCTTATTTCACCAATACGTTGGCTCTCCATAACTTCAGCTTACTTTCAGCTACAGAAACCATTCAAATATCAAACTATTCAGCCTGTTCAGGAATCGATGGGAAACCTTCAACTTTAAAAAAATACTTTATACTTTTTGAAATATTCAGCTTTTTAAACTCTTTTTTTTAACATTGAAGTCAATGGGAGATGCCTTCAAATCCTCTTTTCCTACACTTTGCACCAAATGCTTCTCCTTCCACATAATTTCAGCTAGACACTTCATTCCAACTTTCAAATGATCACAACACCTTCAGCTATAAAAGTCGTTATTCAGATTCTTCATATCTTTTACACTTCTTGAGATATTTAACTTAGTTTGGAGCTTGGTAAAGAGGCTTTCTTCAGATTTTAACATTAGTGTGGATGGAGCAGCTCGTTAAGTCTAGAGTGCTTTGATCTCAAAACAGAGTGGAAGAGTGCTTGAAATTCTCCCACATTTTTTTTTTAAACCTGCCATAATTCCCAAACCCTACACTCCTCAGACATAATTTTTCATGACAAACGTAGGAAAACCTCTCCTAGGTTGGATAATAAAAACAAATTAAGAAAAAATATTAAACAAAATGCCTCTTGAGGGCATGAAGTGACAAAAACGTTCAACATGCCTCCATTAAACCCCATTGTAATTTCAGGCTGATATTTCCTCACAGCAGCAGCCGCACACCTTTAGTTAAACTGCCAAAAAGGCCACATTATTAACCCGAAAGTACACAAAAATTACACTTCAGATACTCAACATCCTTGACATGCTTCACGTTTTGAAATTTCACAGATATCTGTTACGGTTCTTCGACAAAACGTTCACAAGTAAGAGGTTTATCTCTCATTCAGAACAATGGAAACCTTTGATCTCTAGGCAGCTCGTTAGCTCAACTATAAACACCTGTGTAATGGAACACGATGATGTCATCACTCCAACTGACATGCTCAGTCAGTTCTAACTGTGCATTAGTGCGAATGCTGTTTACACACAGACTCTCTCTCTCTTGCCCCTTTCACACCGGCGCTTTTTCAGCTCCGGCTCGGAGCTTTTTCAGCTCCGGCTCGGAGCTGGAGCCTGAAAAGTACAGTTTTTTCCTGTTCACACCGCAGCGCCTCATAGCTCCGGAATGCGGTTCACTTCCAGCTCCAAAAAATTGTCGGTCTAGAGGCAAGAGCTTCGGAGCTAGAGGCGGCGTCGCTTACGTCTCTCTTACGTCGAGGCGTGCAGGAAAGTAAACCCACCTCCCCTGAACATGGGTCGACTGAAGAGTCTCGTCATGCCTGCCTATAAGCAGTAGCGCTGAGCAAAGTGACTAGAAGGCAACCACACACTTATAAAAAAAAACACACTTTATAAAGGCAACACTAACCAGGCTTCGTGTGATTCTGTGTATTTGTCCCTTACTTTGACCATCCGTTCGCTGTTATTGATCATTGTGGAGAGCAGGCAGACGTTTTGTTTTTTATTATAGCAGCTATCGTATGGAATCAATACATGGGCTGCACAGGTTGTCATGTCCGACTATCACAAGTAGAATTATAATGAAAAATACGCCGGTAAAATGTGCCTGTAGAAAACGGCTTAGCAAGTAGTCAGTTTAGCTTCGGTGGCTATGCTAACATCACCCATGTTATACCAGAGAAACTTTCATAACAGCGTTGTGATGCCAAACAGCGTCAATTCAGACTGACACACATTCACTTAAGGGGAATTGGGGATATGTATCAGCTGCTTGTGTGACAGTCAGACAGTGAATACTTTAGAGCCGTGTGAGCTAACCCGGAGCTAACGGGAGAATAAACTCCCGTGGAAGAGCAGCCAGCACTGCAGCGGTCGGTAAGTGCCGCTGAAACAC